AAGCTTTTATCATTTCTATCATCGGATTTGTGAGAAAAACCCAGCCCAGCAGCGGCGCCACAGAGGGGAACTGGTTTGGGGGGGAGGACACTTCAGCTTTGTATTTCCTCTAAATTCGATGAGAAAATGTCGGAGGGGGGGGGGGGTTTATTTTGGCAACATATCTTTTGTGATGTAATCCTATGATTTTCAAACTGCCTTTCCAAGGCCAAAAGCTAGTTATAAGGTCTTCCTTAAAGTAAAATTGGCATTTTTTTTGATGGAAGAGCGTTTTCTGGTGCTAAAAAGGGCGTGGCCTAAATCTTTTTGCTTTGGAGTTAAATGCAAATTAACCAGGTAAATAAGATTGAAACTTTAGTCAAACTCAGCAACTAATATACCTACTCTCCAGCAACAAGCATTAATTCCTTTTGGAAAACTTTTTTACGTTGACTTTGAAATTGGGCTAAATAAACAGTTCGTTTACTGAACGCATTTTCATTACTGTAATGATTTTTTGTGCGTGTAGTTCACGGGAAGTGACTTCGTGTCCGATCGTGAGTTGTCAAAAAGGATAACAAGCCTTCCTGCTGGCTATACAGCACAATTTATTGCCTAAAACTAGAGTTTTCAAGGCCCATTGTAACAACAGGACACTCACCTCATGAATAGATCTGCTTAAGTTACGATGTTTGCACATAGGAACAAGGTAAAAACAGCGAACCCAGGTTAGTTTGTGTAGTGTAAACAGGGCTTTACACAGCCGTCGAAAACAAGCTCAGAAAAAACTAAATCAGAGAAAAATGGCTGCATCAAGGTGTTTGAACATCAAGATGACATCAAAGTCTTGAATAGAACTTGAATAAGAAATAATGCTTAGGTGCCTTTCATTACAGTTTGTGACTCGTTGAGAGATAAAGATTGAGAATGCCATACCTCTCTCGAGATTTTTAGAATGCATTCTTTCTTTTTTTCATTAATTGTTATTAAATGCAGCAAAAACTGTACTGTAACTCCATTTCAAAAAAGATAAGAAATAAATAAATGACAAATAAGTATCATATTTTGAAATGAATGAATAAGTATTTTGAATCATGAGCTTGACTGTACATTAATAATAAGATTATTTACTCACAAAGCCTAACAAGGTTGGAAATAGCACGACTTTGCATACAACCACTAACACAAATCGTTGTGCGAGACCCAGGAAAACTCAAGGAAGACATCGCCAGTGACTTCAAATAGGTAAAACGAAATACGGAAGATCTTAGCTTACAGGACCCACCACGCCAAACCCGTCATTCAGCAACGAAGCAGCTTTAGCAAATTATTCATTTACATCTCGTTTATCCTATTAGCTGTCCCATGATATAGATATAACGGCTTGTGGGTTTGTCATCCGTCCAGTCATATGTTGTATTAACTGTGTGTCTTACAGCCTGGAGTTGCAGCAAATTGAAAGTCATGGCAAAACTTTGTATTTAAATCAATTGAACGCGTGTCAGCAATAAAATACACACAGACACCAGAACGGTTTCGATAGGCTCTTGTTAAAAGTATTCCATCTTGTTAAATATGTCTTTTCATTATTAGTTTTGTCAAAGTAAACTTATGCTTGTAATTTTTTTAATTGTAAGTGCTATTTGTTATGTATGAATATTTATATGTTAACTGTAATTTTTAGATGTGGTATTAATTTGAAATCTTAATGTTTAATGCTATGGTCTCAGGGTTGCTATGCACCATATGGCATCGTCTTGTAAAATGCTCATCGTTTTTAAGACAACATAAAAAAAGATTGCAAAGAGGATTTATCTATATACTATTTCTTGTTAAATCCCAAATTCACTTTCAAATTCTTTGGTTTACTCTTTACTTTTGAAAGTATCCTTCAGGTATAGCAAGTTTTTAAAAAAATAAAGCCAATTCCAGTGATAAAGAGGTCGTATGCCTCCCAGTAAGCCAGTAAGATAAGGTAATTAATCAAAACAGGTTTGTTGGCACGACTTTCAGAGAAACAATTTAGGGTGCTCAGTTTTGCAACGAGAAGCCAAAAGAAGTTTCTTGAAATTACAAAATAAACAGTAGAAGGGAGTAATAATCTTCAAAATTGTGAACTTTCGTGAAGTGGTGCATAATCAATTCCTGTCCCCAAACCAAACAGAAAGAGTAAAAACGGGTTCAGAGGAATTTATTGCTAAAATAAGTCTATTCAACGTTTAATGTTATGGATGGAGAAATGTTAATGCTAATTCATAAATGATGAGTGTAGATCTGCAAGAGTTTAAAAATATAGGCTGATTTTTTTACTCCTTCAAAGTTCTTTCATTTAGAGGAATTTTTTTTCCTCATTTTCTATCTGCAATCATTAACTGTTTGAAAATATATACAAAGGGATGATTCAAAAATTGTTTTTAGTGCAATTCCTCATTTGAAACGTTTTCCTTCCTAGCACAGAAGTTAAAATATAAATATTTTAGAACTCTATTCGAGTCTGCACCTTGAAACATTTTGGTTATTTCTGAAAACGGGCCGCTTCCATGCATAAAAACCAGCGCCATAAATACACGAACTCAATTCCTATTCATTAGAGAAAGCCTGAAACTACCCATCGGCAATTTCTTAATTTGTTTATCAAAACAAATCTGTAACGTCAAATCTTGTTTATTTGTTTTGTCCAATGCTTAAAACTTTTGTCTGAAAATGATGGTGTTTTAAATCCCAAAAGAAAACGTTTGCACGGAAAAGGCTTTTGCATAAGAGAAGAAAAGTTCATATGATGCAATGTCGTGGGCGATAAGAAAAATATAATCTAGACAATGAAATATTTACATAAATTTCAAATTATGATTGATTAATAACTGCTTTAGGCATGGCCCTAAGAATTTTAGGATGGGCTCCATCGTAAAACAAAGGGCTCTGTGTTTCATGGAAACAGGAAAACTCGAACATTACCAAACAAATGCTATCCCGCCCAGCATACAATAAAACACACATAAAAACCAGTGATTTTCTGTTACAGGCTGAAGTGGTTCCCATGTTGATGATGTTTAATTGGAAAAAATATACCTGGCGGCTTTATATCTGCAGTTTCTTTGTAGCTGGGTTTAACTGTATTCATTATAGCTGAACATTTTTACAGAACAAGAGTTTATCCCCTTATTGGAGTGAAAAAGCTTCGTTTAAGAGCCCTGAGGTGATCAAAAATTAAAAAAAACCATAGTACTGACCACCTTTGATTTTACAAGACAACTCGAAAACCCTTCGTTTGAGGACTAGCTGGAAATCGTTTTTTACGATGATCTGACAATTATTTACTTGTAACTTCATTTCATGTTATCGCAAGATAAATTTTTGCGTTTCACAAAGTGACATCAAACAGTCAAAGAACCTTACGGATAAACGGATAAACGGGCACGAGAAAGATTCAAGCCGAATCCGCCTTAACAAGTCGAATGCATCAGGCACTGTCATCAAATTCTACAGTACAGTGCTTCCAGCTGAATAACAAACATAAGTAAAATTACAATATTACAAAGTAGTGTCTATAGCACATAGAAATCTACAGTTTGATTGAAGGTGAAAACTCCTAATGGTGTCTTATTTGAGAACTAAGATGTGGTATTCGTAAAGTATTTGACACAAGATCACGTGTGACGTAGTAGAATAGATCCCAGGGCACTATGGAAACAAAAATATCATAGCCTCTTTCTGGGATCTCCTCAACTGCTTCAAGCGACGACATTGCGCCATTGCTATAGTCACCTTCTGTTTGGCAATTTTCTCAACAGAAAACTCAATTCAATAAATCCCCAATTTTGTGGAGCTGTCTGGTTCCATTTCTGGGATCTAAGTCCACCTTTCAGCGGCCAGTTTCTACTAGAAGCTCCACGGTTCCTTAGATTCCAATCCTGATTGGACGAAATAGAACGAGACAAAAGGTCCAGTCGACCATCAGCGCCAGGAATTAAATAAAGAAGGCTACTTACCAAAAGATCATTAAATTCGTTGCACGGGAACTATGTAGTCGCCTAACAGGGCCTTTCCGGCAGCTGCAAACCAAAGTAATCCCAAGCGTGTGTTTGCAATACTTTATGTAATGAGAATTCTTTATCAAGACAATGTCTGGTTCAGAAAGGTTCAAATGGAAGCAGCGCCACAATTCGTCTCATAACAAAAAGCAAAACTTCGGAAATAACCTTTAACAAATAAAACGTCAGTGAAACGTCACGGCTACGGCAAATACAATCATTATTTTGGTTCACATCTTAGTGATGAAACACAATCCCTTTGAATGGCAGAATGCGAAATTAATGAAGCTAGGTTGAGCAGGATTTCGGCTTCTGATCAACAGGTAAATAGCTACTGAATCATGCTAAAAATGTAATTATTTAAATTACAACGCATGCTTCATAATAACAGTCAGCCTAAACTCTTTTCCTTCTCAAGGCGGGAAAACTCAACTATGAATTAAAATTGGATTTCCTCGGATTCTAAAAGTGATGGGATTTAAAAACCACGGCTGGTGCAATATATTTGCTAGCAAATTAGAACCTTTGATGTTAAGAGTTGCAATTTCTTTGGATTGATAACAACTTAGAAATGCTGCGTAGGAAACTGTCTTTCTCACTGGGCTACGCAGAATAACTGTCCCTTTTACAGCATGTCTCGCCAAAATACATCCTCGTGCTGTAAATAAAGTAGCCTTCGAAGTCTATACAGATCGTGGGTTTCTCCTAAAAACTAGCTCAGGGTTTGTATTAAAAGCGATAGTGACAAGAAGAAGTTTGAATATGAGCTCACTATTTCAACAGGCCAAATAAATCCTGTGCTATTAAAGGTTGGAAGTTTCAGTTCACAGAACTAGCTTACTATTTAGTTCCGCAAGGATCAGTCATGGTGCCTCTTTTGATATAAGTATAATAATCAGGTGATAGTAGGCTGATAATCGGCAGTTATCATGTTATGTAGCTTTGAGTTCATCTTCATCGAATGATAGACAATGAACAAGAAGACACAACTTTTCAGTACGGAACAAAAATTATGAAAGAAAGTGATCGTAAATTATGAATAGCTATAGGATCTGAAACAAATTCACCCAGAAAGTGAAAAAAACGGCCTCGAAGGTGCACACGAATTTTATTTGAGGTGAACAGCATAAATAAAAGGAAACGAAAATATTACGAATCTTGCAATTTTGCAATACTGCGAATCAAGGTGCGAAAAAAGTCAAATGACCTGAAAGCAATCTCCAAAACAAAGCTAAAGTTTTAAAGAGAATATCATTTTAATGTAGATAGAAGAATAGTAGATAAAGAAAATTTAAAGACGCCTTTGCATAATGCTAATTCACCCTGCAACTATGGCGAGGAGAAATTCCTGCACAAAAAGAAAAAGTTTCCCAATAAAATAGAACGATTAGATACTAGACATGAGCTATTTCCTCTCTCGATACCTTGTGGTAAACTAATTAATTTCATATGAAACATAAATTTGATTCATTTAATCTAAATACTAAAAGATCATTGGAAAACATAAGAGGGATTTATTGCATTGTTATAAAGAATAACGTCATATTTCGGTATTGGAAGTACACAAATACAAGATTTGACTCCACCAGACTAAATCAAATGGCATTCGTATACATATAGAAAGAATGTAGAAGCGGCGATGTGAAAGCGGCAGGGTGAAAGTGGCCTTGGGGTAGGATAAAAATACTCGAAAAGCTAAACAAAACTTAGGTGCTCTTTTCGGAATGACATGCAGTCAAATTTCCCTTAAAATAACGAAAACAGGTGTAAGGGATATTTTTTCATACTCCACTAAAAATTTACAAGACAAGTTACCTTTTACGCTACCTACTAATTACTTGACAAACACTACAGGCACGTTGACACCACGGGGAGCAATAGACCATGACAACCCCCTGGCAAATAAACATAGAAAGAGTAAAAACTACAAGGTGAATCAGGAAACTACCAGGTGAAAGGGATATTCGAATCTACAACAAAAACTTAACGAGTAAAAATAATTTGCTAATTCCGAGAACCAAACTTTTTTGCAAGTACCCTAGCGTGATTACGGATTTACTATACATTAAGACATAAATCAAATCTAAAAATTAACACGAACTTCAAGGGGTGCTTTCTGTTCCTATAAATTCACCCCAACCACCAAAACAAATTTACAAACAACATCTTTCCTTGTGACCTCTTTGAATCAAGGTCAAGCTTTGTCAGATCATGGTCAACTGGTCTGAAAGGCACAATGACTGCCTTATGCTAATTATGTCATTTTTGAAAAGAGCCCTGCCCTATGCTTGAGTGAAGGAAATCCCATATTCCATAATGAGACGCCGCATTGGCGTTCAATGTAGATGCATATTTGCAAACGTAGCAATCTCTCTGAACTGTTGCAAACAATGGCAAAATTCAAATGCCAGTTTGATGACTGCCAATCACATTCGAAGAAGCTCGGCCGCATTCTCAACAAACTCGCAAGCTACCGCCGAAGTGATTGGATGATGGTGAGAAGCAACAAGCACACCAAATGGAAGATTTACAACCACCAAGCCAAACACGTTTCGTTTTGAAGTTGCATATACACTGCAAAAGAAGCAGAAATTAGCACACAGGAAAAACAAGTCAAACTGGGAGAGCGTGTTAACTTGTACTCCACTTGAAGTTAGACAAAAAGCATATTATAGACAAACCAAGCTGATAGTTTTCGTAAAGTCAACTGACAGTTTTGACATATGGTCTTTATGAACTGAACCAGTTAATGAAAGAAAACATGTACACGAATTTTTGTTCATTTAAAGCTTCACAATATTGACATTCAATACTTGAAAACAGGTTTCAAAATTTTTGTGATTAAACCAGTTTATGAATCAGGTTATGACTTTAAAATTAAAACCAATATTCAATGATCTTTTTTATTATAAATCTAAAAAGAATTTCAAAGTAAATCTCACGAGAAAAAAGATAAAATTTTACCTGTGAAATGTTTTTCTACGGATAATGAACTTGTGTTCCTTCTCATCTTTTTCATTTTTCATCCGTAAATTGAACCCATCCTGGTAGAAGTGTGTCTCTGGAAATCATGAAAGTGGTTTAGAATTAAGAAAATATAGCTTGTGCATGGTAGAATTTGCAGAATAGTGAGCGAGGAGCGTGACCAGGGCAGGATTTGAGCCAGCAGCACTGTCCGTTATTGCCCCACCGTATAAAAGATAGTGTCATTAATTCTCATACAACAAAACATATACAAATGTAATAAATGCTATCTAAGTAGTTCTTTTGTAAGCAAATAGGGTATAAAAACAATTAAATGCATTTATCGAAATACATTGCCAACAATTTATATGATAGACAGTACGCGAAATAAAATCCATGAAGCGAGTGCAAATATTGCTGAATAATTTTTAAAATCCTTAAAACAGAATGCTACAATTCAGTTTTTAACAAAGGGCCTTCTTCAAAAAAAACGTTTGGCACAAGTATCTTGCGGGTCCAAACAATCTTTGACGACCACAGAAATGGATATTGAAATGTCTTACGGCATTTAGCCTGGGTACCCGAGCATCCATGAAAGAGATGGTCAAACACTGCATATTACCCACTATTTAACTGAGGCTTTGGCACCCAGGGTGAACAGCCTTTTAAAATTCTTTGACATATCGGTTGTTTCCTTATTCTATATTTCTAAAGTATATTACATGAATGTCCCAACGTTTATAAAAAACAGCCAAACATACCTTTATGCTCGTCGCCAAGGTCAAATATTCCCACAAACTGTGTATAATCATCCTTAAAAAAGTATTTAGATCAAAACTAATTTGGTAATTGATCATTCATGGCCTATTTATTGAATATTTGTCACGTTTTGATGAATCAAAGTATAAATAGGCTGCTTATCAAGAAATACTCAATCAAAAATGATATAAATTCTTACATATTCTAGAAGTTACAATTCTAGAAACAATTTTATCAAAATTCCAAAACGTTAGCTAAAGAAAACAGAGCGGTATATAAAAAAAGCATAAAGAAGCAATATATAATTGGAAAAATTAATGTCTATGTTTATTTTGGTAAAAACAGCAGTGTTCGATGCCTTGTAGAAAGAGCTGTACTAATGACCATATTAAGTGTGAAACTCGAAGTTGCAACTTAGAACCGTTCCTTTCGATACAAGACCCTTGAAGATATTAGCCAACAGTGCCTGTTTCGTTGCAATTGAAAGACAATTCTATAATTTTGCGCCTATCAGTTAGAGGTATTTTACTCGCAAGAAGATCTCTTCAACGAAAGCCTCAAAGCAGCATCAATATTTTGTTGAATGCGTCCAATGCAACTTACGTGAAATATATGTTAATGAAGTTTTGGAGAAAGAAATATGTCATTATCATCAAAGCTGTCATTCAATTAAATGCTCGATTTCATGCAAGAGCTTAACGTTTATCAGACGTTTTCATAAGATATCAGAATGACTATTTGCGACAATAAGAGCTGCTCTTTTGCAGTTTCAGCAGAACTGCAACATCTCCAGATAGAGCAGCAACATTGGAAATTGAACTCCATTATGCACTTAAAAAGTCTACAGCCTCCAGCGAAAGATTGGTGTATTAGAAAACCAATCGCCCGTGCAATTTTTGTAGCTAGCTACAACATTCAAACGCTTATTCTATTTTAGAATTTGGTCTTTTTGATCACCTTATTATTTCGTGTTACTTAATGTCATGAAATTTTCCCTCGAATCAACTGCTCACGTTATTCGAAGTTATGTTATGAAAAGCTTTCCGTACATTCTGTATTTAGCGTTTATTACCTTTTAGCCATTTACCGTTCTTCAATGTTCTAACAGTTCTTCAATGTTAGCTTCTTTCAACTATTCAATATCTTTCAAACATTGATAGACCATACACGGGCACATTCGGTTCTTTATAATACAGAGCAGGTCATTGATGTACCCCAAAAATAGAATTGGGCAAAGACAGGAGCCTTGTTGGACTCCAATATCAATGCGCTCCATTTTTTCCAAATTAACCCAACAGTATCGACTTCTGTTGCAAGATAGTATGTGAACCACAACTGTTCCTTGCCAGTTGCACCATAGTGCGTTATAGATAATTCCTAACATAATGTGTTTAAACACCTTTCTGGTCAGTATACCTTTTCGATATCCGCGCGCTTAATTTGCATGAAGAGACTGGGGCGAGAATTTGGGTGTAAAAGTTGCCGCGGGCCTCTGTTTATATATAGATATGGCGTTTACTGGCAACTAATCACAGCACGAATAAGCATCGAAAGTATTCGAAATTTTGCAGATTTGATTCTTAAATATATCCTGTAGTCTTCAGTCTCAAAAATAGCCTTTTTAAAAGCTTCTGTCAGGCATCGTGCTCTTACAGGCTACATAGGGTTAGGCCGGCTTCAAATATAGTTGTGATATAAGCCCTGAAGCCAGACTGATATAGCGAAAGGAATCGACCAAGTATTAATGTAATTGATCTGATCCGAAATTATTACTAGCTATTCTTGATGTTATGGGTAGTACAGAAAATGGGCAATCGCCTCGTCGTAAAGTATTTGACACGTCTGGTAGTTTTTCAAGTATCAAGAAAAATTCTTGTTCCGATAGAAGCATTGAATATCCATCGCACTTGCGAGTCAAATGCATCGCATTCGCACACAAAATGGGCCACACTTTTTCACTATCATCTAGCACTGTAATAATTAGCTGCTTCCAATTCATTCTTTTAATGCACCAATCTCAATTAAAAATAGAAGATTTGATTGATCTGAAAGAATCATACCAACCATACCTCAATAACATGTGACAATTCACCATGACTATAAGCATGCTTCCCGTTGAATGTTAGTAGCAAAATCCCATCAATGATGTCGCCTTTCAAGAAGGTTTCTGACGAGAAATTAACATCTCTTTTTAACAATAGAGTATAGCTGACAAAGTAGAAAACAAATTTAAATAGCGAATCAAAAAATATTACCCAAAGATAAAGATAAACAACAAAAAACAACAACAAAAGGATAAAGGTAAAACCCTAGCACTGGCGGTTCCCTGGATTCCCAGAAAAGGTTATGTCTGATTCATCGTTTCATAAGTCTTGAGTGATTTAATCTACCTTTCATTCATCATTTCTTACTGGTATTCAAAATGGCATTATTTTGCTTCAAGAATCATTTCCTACTATGCAAAAATCAAACAATCTTCTCATCAATGCACATCAACTGAATTCCAACTAAATGCTGATTGTTGTGGCTGAATTACCGCATCCACTGCCATAAGTCTCTTCGAGATGCAAAGTTTCAGTGTAAAAAATACTGAAACATGAAAAACGTACCTTTTAAAAAATTGTTCCATGGATCATTTTCTGGCAATGCATCACCCTACCAAAAAAATAAGAAGACGATTCAACAGTCTTGCATAAATTAAGAAAATACAGAAATAATAAAAATTCAATACAGTATTACTTGCTTCAAAGGACCAGCCCCTGATTATCTAGAAATAGATACAATTTAATGCTGTCTTCCATCTTCTGTCTCTAGGTGTCTTGCCTTTATGATTTTAACAACAAACAAAACTTTTGAAATAAGTGTACCCCTAAAATAACTAATATGTGCCTAGCATATGTATGTTCAAAGTAAGTTACTGAAGGAGAATTTGTGAAATCCAGACACAATTTGATTTGAGGTGTCATAGAAGTGATGATGTTCTTAACAATGAAAGGGTCCGGCTTTCTACTGGGTAGGGTCTACTCTTTACAGCAATTCAGGTGGTGAAGGTAGAGTGAGACAAAGAAGTAGCTTCTATACCAAAAAGGATGTCACACATGCAATAAGAGTTTTTTTGTGACACTCGATGGGGGAAATGGGGTGGTTGTCCCCTAAAATGCTCAGAAAATCTTTGAGAAAATCTGCAATAAAAAAATTAGCACTTCAGGGAAGGGAGGTGATATATCTGACAAAATTAAAACAGTTTAAAAAACTGCAAGAAAATGATTTCAAGAAATAATCTGAGATATATTTTAAGCTAACCTAAAAAGCGTGGTCACAAACATTTTCTCCTTACTTTGCTGACAGGGGGTCTCATCCATTCCTATCTTGATTTTTCCCATTTCATGCAAAGGCTTGTATAGAAGATTCTTGAGACTTCCCAATAAAATACACACTTTCTTTAACACTATTGAAGCTCAAAAATTTTGAAATTCGAAAAAAAAATTATGAATTATCGCCAGACTCGAATTTCATAGACAGTTTGACTTTTATTTGTCAGAGTATTTGGAACAAAAACCTTTGAGAAAAACTTTGAGGTACAAATGTGAAGCTTGTACTGTGCAAGAATGTTTCATTTCCAAAAATATTTTCACGATAAAGAAACGAAAAAATAAGAATTCGAACTTTATATCTCAATTCTTTCCAAATTCACTTGTTGTGCTGCTTAAGAATTATCTTAGAATGAAGGCTCATGCTATTCAAAAACTATTAGTGATGCATTTCAGTTTCAAATAATAATCAGTAAAATCATCAAATAGATCGTTTTAATATGGTTTAAAGAGACTGTAAAACCTTGAGATTTACTAACGTTTGAGTCAATAAGTCAATAAGTCAATAAGTCATGAGTCATGAGTCATGAGTCATGGGTCATGGGTCATGGGTCGCAATAAGTCACAATTTTTCATTTTGTAGTCATAGTAACTCGAACAATCAACCTAACAAACATTACAAAGAAATGTTTTTTACTAAGTCTATGTAAGCATTTTAAAGATTTCTTTCTCCTTAACACCAATAAAAGAAAATATTCAAAATTATAATCTATCATTGTTTATCAGTTACTTCAATGCATTTTGAATCGCTAAGTACTTTTGAGCTTTTCCCCATTTTAATGTTAGACAACCACCCACCCTCACGTAGGGTCTTGGCCATAAGTACCTTCCCACGAATACGTAAATAAGAGTAAATAGGACAGAATGAGTATAATAAATAGGACGCAATCCAGCCTTGCTCCTGTGCGATTGTGGCTCATGACTCATGACTCACGATTTAGGCAAACTCCAAAGCCTTAAGCTAATGTCCAAAGAATTGGGTGTTAAAAAAGACAGGCTGCAATGGAAGACTGATGATGATGCAGTTGGCTGGATAACCTGTAGATCTAGTGTTGATTGTTGTATACATGCTAACAAGCGATAATCCAGATGAAGAGGTGGAGGAAATGTGTGACAAAATCGAAGACAAATCATCAACATGTAAAGGTAAAGATTACGTAGTGGTACTTGGAGATATGAACGCAACTGTTAGAGAAGGTCTTCAACGTTGTAAGAAAATAATTTCTGGTGGCAAGAAATAACAGGGGTGAGATGATAGTAAAATTTTGTGTGAGAAACAATCTGATGATAACAAACACTTTGTTCAAGAGCAACAACAGAAGAAGGCACACTTGGAAAGCACCACAAAATTGATTATCAGCAGCAAGAATAGGTGAAAGGAATATATAGAAATGCTGTGCAACAAGGATGGAACACCATCAGAATTGCTTGTAGAAGAGGAATCAGAAGCTGTTAAGCACGAAATCGGACCAAAAATCATGAGGGCGGAGGTACTAAAATCGATTGAAGAGCTAAAAATAGGAAAGGCAGCAAGAACAGACGATAAACCAAGCGTAAATGATAAAGACCTTGAAGAACACTGGGTTAGATGAGAAAGTGATGCTGTGCCAGCAGATGTATCTAAAAAGAAAATAGTCGGAGGACTTTGTTAGAGAAAGTTAGAGAAGAACCCAACAGCTAAGATCACAGATCACAAATGTTAAGATCACAGATTGATCAGCTTGAAATACAGTTCATCAAAGATAATGCTCAGGATTCTGAAAGGAAGGACAGAGAACAAAATAACTGATGCAAATGAAAAATATCAATTTGGGTTTATAGAAACGATGCATTGAAAATGATCAAGGTAGGTTTATCATTCGTGGACTTTGAGAAGGCTGTCGACAGGGTCAATTGGGAAAAACTTATAGAAATTCCCAAAAGTGGTGGTGTGGATTGGAGAGATGATCAATGAATTACACATGCAACAAAAAGCAAAAGTGAGGCCAAAAGACGGAGAGTGGGGTGGGAGCCAGCAAAGATTGATAGAGGGGTACGTCAGGGTTGCCTGATGTCACTCTCTCTTTCCAACTTATTTTTGCAAAATTAATGGTCAGAATATCCCTAGAGAATTGTCAAGAGAGAGTGAAGGTTGGGAGCAAGCTGGTAAATGCAGTGAGATTTGCAGATGACCAGGTCATTGTAGCAGATTCAGAGAAGGGGTTATAGGAAATAGCAGACAGTCTGAATGCAGTAATTCAGGATCTTGGAATGAGAAATTATTCAAAAGAAACAAATGCAACGAGGAGCAACGAAAACGGTGAAAGCAATGTCATGATCAGGCTGAATGGTAAAAAGCAAGAACAAGTTGGATGTTCCAAATACCTATAGATAATATTTTGACAAGCAATGGCTATTGCAGTACAGGTATAAGATCACAGGTGGTGCTAGCAAAGATTGTCATAATTTCGTGAAGAGAATGGCTAATGAAGAAGTTCAATATAAGGTTGAAAAATGGTTAAGACCTTGGTGTGGTGCTAATGTATAGATCAGTGTTGTGGACACTGAGGGGAAGAAAAATTCAGAAAACGGCAAAAGAGGCAGAGGAAGAAAAAGAATGACATAGTTCAATCACTGGCGTAAGAACGAAAATGGCAGAGCAGAAACATATGGAGGGATCAACTTGTAGGGCTAAAGATTGGGATGGTTGGAGTATGTGATGACGAGCCTGCCTCACAGCAGACAAAAAAGAAGATTTCAGAAAAATAGGTTTTGCAGATTTTGTTCCGAAAATGGACTTGAAAGTTTGAAGCATTTGAATACTGTTTATCATTTTTAAGAAATTTGCTTACAACTTTGAAAAAGCTACAACTACTTTTATGATATCTATCTGGGTTTTTGCACTTAATACATTGGTTAAACTTTATCATAAACTCCTGCTGTCTTGGACCAAGCAATTACTTAGAATTCTTAATCAGCTGTTGTACACACAGGTCCTCCAGGTAGTATGTTGTAAAAAGAAGATGCTGCAGACACTGAACTGCTTGCAGTTGATTGCATGTCTTGATAAAGAAACAAACACATCCCTCCCCAAATATAAAGAGTCTCTTTGTATGCATGTATACATGTATAATTATGCAGGGTCTAGGAGGGTGACTGTATTCAAAATTGAAGCAAAGTTGCCTTTACATATTTCTATATTTCCAAAAAAGGTTTTTGCATGTCCCTTGCAGCCCCAAAGTCTATGAGGTTAAGTTACCCCAGTAAATAGATCTAGGGGAGGGGCTTATTTATTTTTCAGTCCTAGAGGGGGCTTAAAAGAAAGTGGGACTTATTAGAGAAGAGGGCTCATTAAAAATTTCAAGTAAAATGTTTTAAAAATGCCCTTTTTCTTTTTTGTTATAAAATGCCATACAAATGTTTCCAAAGAAACTTTGAAAGCAGCTTTGAAGGTTAAATTAATGAATTATAAGCTCCTAATCTTCATCAGAATCACCAGGATCAATTGATAACCCTTGGACAGTCTTCTAAAGGATTTTTGACAGACTTCTAAGGCTCACAAGCAAGTCTAGTCTACATGGGCTGTATTCGATGCACATTATATTATCATCATCACACCTGCCAAGAGACCCACTAAATATCTGCATGTTTTCTTTCTTGACATCAAGGGCTGAAGAGGGGGGCTTATTTTAAGTCTTTGCTTAATAGTCTAATAGACCCTAATAGAGAGAAGGGCCTTATAGAGTTGGGGGCCTTATAGAGAGGGGGGCTTAATAGAGCTTTCATGGTATATGTAGACCAGACTGGAAAGTTCACTGGGGTCACAAAAGGATGGACATGGTGTTAAAAATGGCGGCTCACAGAAGCCAAAGTCGAAGCTGACAGGTTTTTAAAACAGAAGTTCAGCGCTAAAAGTTTTTGTAATGAACGCTTTCGCCGCAAATTTTTTTGCATAATTCCAATGGCTTACCTTACTGTTTTGCAGGTGAAAAGTCAGGGAAAAATTTCCGGAAAATATTTTCGAAGGATTAATAAAAAATTGCCTCAAAGTACAGACGAAACTTAATAAGCATAAGATAATTTAATTAAACTTGAAACTTAGTATGTGCACCTTTGTTCTGATTTTAAATATATTACCGAAAGATCATTCTGGCCGATATATCAGCCTTTAGGTTATTAAGAGTGATATCAGGTGAACAATTTCAAAAACTGGCATTTAGTGATCAAAATAAACGTTGAACGGTTTGCTTTAATTTTTTGACTGTCACATGCTTAGATAATGAGCAAATCAGAATTTAAGATAACAAGTCATTAACATCAAATGTAGAGAAACTCACCTTGTGTCAGTATTGAAACGTTAAATTTAAAGTGCACTGCTAACGTAACTTTCTCAGTTAAATTTTTTTCATGAAAATGAAGCTTTAAGCAGTTTGCTTCGAATTTCAACATTTTTCTTTCCTGTTTCTTCAATAAAGTGACGCTTCGTGGTCATCTTTCATGAATGATGAGAGAATCTTTTACAGGATTGTTTTGAAGCAGTCCTTCAAAGTTTTGCTGAATTTTCCCCCTCAAATAAGCAAACCAATCATCAAATTTTCTTAAAACAGAAAGTCGAAGGAATGGCGAATCTATTTCCTCCCATAACCTATTTCCTTCTGTCTGCACCTAAAGAAATTCCAGCAAATTTTATGCAGTTCCAGAAATTCCAGTCAGGAATGTAGATTTGTACAATAGTTTCAGAATGTGTTACTTTGATGCTGAAATGCTGTGTATAAAAAAATTGAAAATAACTTATACCTGATCGTCAACAAGCCAGGTATGAAAAGAGTTTTCTATGGTTTGGCATTCTTCAAAACAACTTTGAAAAAATCAAATAATCTTCTTAATAAACACACCATTTTTGTCACTCTTTTTGAAACAATAAGCACATTGTGCTTAGCATGCACAACCTATACAAAACAAAAAGTTAAGTTTACAACAAAAATTACAATTGTTTGTCTTCTTACGTTGTGTCTTGGGCCTTTTGCAAGTAGCATAACGAATTATAGCCACCAAAATGTTTAAGTTTTCATGCATAAAACGATGACTGGCTTGTTCCAGTTGGTTATTCGACAGAAGTTGTAGGGCCAGGGCACCAAATTTTCAAAATAAAAAAGTGGAGCCTCATTTGCAAGAAAGCCTCGTCTTGAAATAGTCATGGCTGGCTCTAATTTGTTATTCGACGGAAGGATGTTCAAGAGTTAGAAAGGAAGTTAATATTAAAGAAAGTTATTGCTATAATAAGAAAAAGACTTAAACAATGGATTCTATTAGTAGCAAGGATCCATGAAATATTTTGCTTATGGAACTTTGGTCGAGGGAAGATGTCACTGCAGACCTTGTTGTCGCGGAGAACCGTCGATCATATGCAGGTCACACAATTTATCGTGTCGTGCTGAAGGTAAGCCTGATTGACATGGCATTCTTGATTTGCTCATTAGAAGACTAAATATGTCATAACTGTGCTCTTTAAGTCACGATAGATAGGTAATTCAAGCCTAGTCATTCCAGGAAGATTTTTTTATATGTTTTTGTTTGTGCATATTCATTATCAATAGCATTGCACCCAACTGTATCAACCTTTTCTGCCCCACGGTCTTTTTATTCTGTTGCCGATGAAAAAGGCAATAATTTTATAATCTTGAAAACTTTATATTGATTATTGTCAATCTTCGAAATGGGTAATAATAGAATCAAACAAGAAGAAGTATTGTTATATTTATATGCATAGCTATATAATAAACAAACCAAGGTTTTGCCTAAAAGCTCATTAAACTGTAGGCTCTGGTTGAAATCACTACAAACGTTGTTTAAAAATTATAACTGTAAACTTAATGTGACTGTAAAACGGAGTGAAATTGAATATTTTTGAAAACTTAGGTCTGAATTTGATGTAACTTTAACCAGTAGTGTGATTTTAAGCAGAGTGACTTAAAGCAGAGTTGACTTTAGTTGAAAACTCAGGTTGAAAATTTTATCTGTGTGATGAGAATTGACAAAATCAGGCAAGCTGTATGAATAATCTGGTTTTTAGTAGTGTTGCGTGTTATGTAAAGTTGTAGTCTAAAGAATGATCTTCTTTTTAGGTTTTTACTGCTGGTGAAGTTGTTCCAGTTAAGCTAAATGAGGTAAAATATTGGTTCTGATCTTCTTTTTTGACAACAGGTCTGGCAGCTCTTTGTAGAGCAAAGGGCTATACAATATTGTAGTGTTGTCTTTTTTGCAACTTGATTGAGTATTCATGCTAACATGAAATTATTTATTCTTGCAAAGTGTTCTCTTGAAATGTTCCCCATAACATATTTTTTAATCATACCAAACAAAAAAAATATAGAAAAATATCCAAGCACCAACAATCCATTCTGCAAAAGAATTTCACTGGCCAAGCCCTTCAAATTGGCTAAAAGGGAATATTTCTTGCCATATTTATTGCAATTGTTTAAAACATTTTACTCATTTTAGGCTAAATTTGCTACATTTGATTTTTCCATTCTTAAAATTGAAATCATTAATTTTGTGTCCCATAAGATTGTGAGGCCCCTGGACACCCCCCCTTGTCTCTTCCTTTTGGTGGCCCTGTCTAGCAGTGGTGGCCTGGCCTTTTTTGCCTGGAGGGGCCAGCAGCAAAATGGTGTCCTTCATCACTAACATTATTCTCTTTTCCTGAAAAGATTGGCAGTCAGGTAATGCACTTATATGTTTTAACCTTATATGTCAAGGATAAACTGACACCCACATGACCACAGGGTCCCAAATATAAAAATTTTTCATGAGGGTGTCAGGACAAGTCGGACCAGCTCACAAATGAAATGGACTGTTTCTTTGTTCTCTTCATAACTGTTGTGTTCATTTGGCGCCTTGGATGGGAATCCAAAGTGCCAGATAAGATATTTACCTTTGTTTTGCTAAACTTGTACTTTGGGCCAACTAAACAAGCCCAAAACATACATATAACACAACTTACAGTCAGGGGGCAAATTAGAAGGGTGTTGAGGTAACAAATAAGGATTCCAGTTACTCATAGGGCTAGAAAATGCAATTTCTAACTTATCTGTGAATTCACTTTGACACAAATGAAAGGTGCTAGAAATGATTATAAGACTACGTCATTTGATACAAAATGAAGTAAATATTTCATCAATATAAAAGATCAAAAAAATAAAATGGCTTAGAAAATTAGACCCGGCCCAACTTTCTTGTCAAAATACCTACTAGAAACATCAACGACTCTAGAACAACCAAGGTGCAAGAGAGGGCAGGCTTGAGTAAAAGGGCATTGGAAAGATAATTCTCAGCTTCTACTAATTACTTCATATCTGCCCTTTAATTTTTATCTTCTGTGTGTATCTTGAACATTGGCTATCTTTTGGCAAAAGGAATTTATTTACAAGTTTTGAGAAGTGTCGTCATGAATTAGACACTACAACCAGAATTTAAAATAAATCTATCTGATTATTAGAAATGGCCTGTTTTAAATGACAAGGGCACTCTGGCCCCCTTTGCCCATCCTATCAAAAGGCAACAGGGGCAGTTGACCCTCTGGGCCCCCTTCCCATCATCCCTGAGAAACATGAAGTCAATGTTTTGAGTTAAAAGTAATATGTTTAAGTTATCCTTTTTGAAGAAACATAATAAGAGCTGGTTTCAGTTTTAGCCTTGAAAGCAATTTTTAGAGCTATTTTTTCTTATCTTGTGACTTGAGATAGCAGACGAACTTATCTAAGATGAAACAGTTTAACAGCCGAATTGTCTGTTAATTAGGTCTCTGAAGGCCAGCAGAGCCAAAGAGACTCATTGAAATTCAAAAATTTCCCTAGAAGGGGTGGGGCATGAGTCAGGACACTCTAAACACAGACTGTCCTCCGAGTATTTCTGTGTGCCCCATTAATGCTGTGCCCTCCACACAAAATAATTTAACAATAAATTTTCTGACACTCCTCTGAAAAATTGATTAGTTTTTTCACCCATGGGAACAGTACAAATGTTTTAAGGGGCCTGAAGACGTGCCCTGTAGTGAGACTGTTCTAGGGGTTATGGGGCCATGCACCTCAAGAAAGTTTTTAATTCTAAGGCATCTTCTTTCTCTCCCCTGACCTCCAAGGGACCTAATAACCAGGCAAGTCGGTGGTATCAACAATTTTTCGAGTTTTCAGCGCCCTATACAAGTTTTGGCGCCCCTATAAAAAAGTCAGCTAGAGGGTCCTGGCCCCCTCAGCCCCTTGCCAGGCTGCCACTGCTGTCTAGGAGGCAGGTAGAAAGGGTTGAATATAATGCTTTAATGCTCTAAAGGCTTTAATATCTGATTTTCATACCAAAGAATCCAAAAACTGGGCTTTTCTAGCATGCCACCATATTAATGCAGTGAGATGATGTTCAGGTTTACCTGCTTACATGGATTGTGTTCAGTGATCTCAAATTTGATATGTGTAGTCCAGGGTAGAATCTTCCTGGCAGCAAAATTGAGGAGTCAAAATTTCCTATATATTGCAAGTGATATTTAAGTTGCTCAATCTGTTTAAATATTATTTGTACTAAAAACCAGCTGTCATTCTCCAAAGAATAAATTGTTAGCCAAACCTCAATTTATGATCATAGCTTTAAAAGGTTATGTCTACAAGTTATTGATCAGGCTCATAACAAAGCTGACATGATTCAAATAGCAAACATTTTGTTTATACTTTATTGGGAGAACTTAGTTATAAACAGCACTCACTTTTCTTTTTCAAGCTTAATGTTAGAAAATCTGATATCTCTCAAATCTTTGATTTAATTCCACACCATTTCCAGCAGCCTTGACATCATTGAAATATGATATGTCCTAGATCTATTCAGACTATAGGTTTTATGTTTGCTGTTCATTTGTATGATCAAATCAAGTAATTTAAGCATCAAACAATTTGTGTGTTTCATTATGGTTAAAAGTAATGATGCTAAATCAGAGATGGTGCTAGGACCAGTATTGGAGGTCCAAGACACTTATTTCCCTAAGGTGCTGATAAAAATTTATGAAAATTCTGAATAATATTAATGAAAATGCATGCATAGGGTTTTTGGCACCTTTTTTAATATAATCAATGTGAAAGGATTGGCTGTCTCAAAGTTGTTTTAATTGTATATAATGACTTTGTAAAAGGAGTTGTTTGTTTTTGCTTGTGTAGATTAATTTAATTTCTGAAGACCATGCTAGAAACACTGGGAATCCTTAATAAGAGACCAACACAGAATGAATTGCTGAAAATACCAGATGATTAAATTTTGAAAGCTTATCTTTGTTTTTTGTTACAGAACAAAAATTTTATATCAAAAGGAAAACTTTTTAGTAGAAAAGAGGGTAACATAAATTCAATATACATATTAACATATAACAATTGAAATTGAACATTCAAAATTTCCTGCCAAACAGTAACAAATTTCATGTGAGGAATTGCTGTTAAAATTTTCTCCTTTGCCTGACATTTTGAAGCCCTGGCGGCGCCCAGTTTGAAGCCATTGACTAGCTTTGTAATTTCCTAGCAGTCAAAGAATGATCTTGGTTTTTCCTCACATACATTAAAATTTCTGAGTATGATGTCTGTTCAAATTTTTTCTTTGAGGCTATCTCAATGAATACAGTTCTCATTTTGTGAATAGGTTTTTGTATGGAGAAGGTACAGCGAATTGAAAAGATTGCACAAAGATTTGAAAAACATCAGTCTTCAAAGTGAAGAGGCATCTGTTTCTTTCCCAGAGTTTATCAAAGCAAAAATTTTTGGTAAGCTCTTATTTTCTTGTTTTTCTCAAACAGCGTACATTTTTGTTGCAGGTGTTAAGAAAACCATGTGTTTGCAGAAACTGATATTTCTCAATCAATTTAAAACTTTTTTAGCATAGAGAGAGGTTCCACAAGTATTTGCAAGAGACTGCTCAATTTTGCTTTTCGCTCTCCAGTATGATTCACTGTGGTGTTATCCCAAATAATAGAGTGTTAGCCAAACATATTTCCACATGACTAGCAATTTTTGTATGTTTTGGTGAGAATATGCGTAAAGGCATCCAGTTATCCTTGAGTGCGTGAATATACTTTATCAATATGCTATTGATCGTTACTAGCTAACATTGTAAGACTTAATTACACTTGAAGTTGTGGCTGCATCTCTATAGAAGCATATGTAATCAGGAAGACACCATACCTTGAACAAAACATTTTAGTGAAATACAACCAATATCAATGTATTGATAGTGAAATGAATTGATGTATTGATGTATTGATGTATTGATAGTGAAATACAGTCAATATCAATGCATTGATAGTGAAATGTATTGATGTATTGATGTATTGATTTTGAAATACAATCAATGTCAATGTATTGATAGTGGAATGTATTGGTGTATTGATAGTGAAATGTATTGGTGTATTGATAGTGAAATACAATCAATATCAACGTTAAATATCAAGGCAAACAGGGGCTTCAATTTGGCCCTCTTGTTCTATTTCCACAGGAAGAATTTATCTAGCGTTTTTAGAACAGCCATAAATCTTTAATAAGGAAATCAATAAATTTTTGAATAGTGTATTTTTTGTTTGGATTTTGATTTGTGTGCATTTTGGAAGCTTGCTTAATTCTACAACCTACACAGAACGCTTTGGGTTAACTGTTTTCGTAATTATCCGCCAGTCTCGAGAGTTTGAAATCATACGAAGGAGACACCATAAAAATGCATATAGGGGTGCTATAAAACCGACTAGCACTGGATCAGTGCTGCTCAGAGAAAGATAATTGGCTTTGATTTCCTGAAAATTCGAATAAGAAAAAAATAAGGGGATGCATATGGTATAGCAAAGGAAATAACCAAGACAGGTTGCTAAAATATGAAAGGAGAAGGGAAAAAATTAACAATTGATGATTTGATTGGTTTGCTAATGCATTTAAATGAATGTGTTGCTGCGAAGATCAGATTTACATAGCTAAATTGATAAAGATGAATATTTATGTTGTAAAGTAATGACGAGTATGCTAATTAAACAGCTATTTTTTCCCTCAGGACGTTTCGAGGAACATATTATCGAAGAACGCCAACGAAGTGCAGAACAGTTTTTAAAATTTGTGGCTGAAAGACCAAATCTTTTCAAAAGTGGTGTTTTGAAAAGATTCTTTGAGGTATTGTGAGATGCAAAACATAAGATTTCTCTCATGCAAATATCTTTAGCAGTTTCCAAAATATGCCTGTTTGATATTGATAATGATGTTTGACTTTTGTAGAGTAACAGATGCTTGTGAGAATTCTTGATTTTGTGCAGCATCACCATTTGTATCCTTTAAGCTATGCTGTCAGTCAACCTAAAAAATTATTGGACGTTCTAAGGCTATATACAAATTGTTCTTTATTAAAACTAATGTTTTTATTTTTTAGGGAGCCGTCAAATGCAATCAGCAGAGTTCCCTGACAGAGCCAAGTGACGAGCCGTTGTATCTTAATGAAATAAATAATCGATTGTCCCTTTCTGGTAGTATAACGGACGAAAGCAGAGAAATTGGTAAGCAACCCTCATGGTTGTTTTGACTATAATTATTTATGCATAATATCCTTTGATAATGTTGTAAGAAAATGTGAAAGTAATTGACTCTGTATCAGCAAATGTCATAAACATGTCAAATGCCTTTTGTATTTCACATATATTATTATTTATTTTAAATGGGCATGTTGCCAAAGTCTTGAAATACCTTATATTTTTAGTGCCGTTCTGTAAAGGTAAGTTTAAGGTCAAATTAACGGACACCACAAGCCATTTCTCTCAGAGGAAATTTTGTAGAGTTGGCTGAGATACCACTCTAACGGGAATCGTTTAGGAGACATTGAAGCACACGAAATTCATATAAAGCACAATATAAAGGAGAAGTGGAGATGCTTTTTAAAGTTTGTAGACATGTAAAAGAGTACAAGAAGACATCTTTCAAGAAATTTGTATGAATTTTCATGCTTTTTTAGCATAAAAACCATAAGTTAGATATTCATGTAAATTCTGTCTTTACACGTGATATGCATATATGAAGAATAACGAGGCTTTGGAGCTAAGAAAATTAAAGCGGATGATTTTAAAAAGCTTAAACTAAGGGAGCATTGCAGAATTTTGTTTTGCCTTACATAAGACTTGTCCCTGCTTTTTCTTTGTTTTGGACTTCTTTCTATCACATTGCTTTCTGAAATTTTCCTCTTTTTGAGTAAATAAATTTTTTTTTATTCAATTTGCAGAAAATAGTTGAAATCTTAAAACATACCCTCGATACAAATGTCCATTTCAACATTTCTCTAATAGAAATTTTATTTTCAGCAGTTTTTGGATTTAAATGTTCTTCTATGTCTTTGAATTTCAACAACTTCCTATGTTTTTTTCTACTCATTATTTTTCTTTTGTAAGGAAATTGCAGTATTTGTGCCTGTCCTTCGGAAGGTTTTAACGTGGTAGATGCAGGTGAATAGTGTAGTCGACTGCAAATAAACCTTTCTGTCTCTATGTTCTATATTCTTCACTTTGACCTATTTGTGCCTTAGGTATTGCCATTTGGTGATGTGTAATTGTAGGCATTTCAGAAAATGGTTTTAATGAATATTGATAATATTTTCATAGGTCAGTGTTCTTTGAGGAGTAATCTGTATTTTGCAGACAGTGCCGAAGAAGAGTTGGAGCCAATGTCGACAAACCAATCCAGAGGAGTGTGGAACAATAGGCAGCCAACACCAGATCCTCTTGAAAATAATACTAGCAGTGACCCAGAACCAAGGATAGAGGTATTTACCGCTTCTGATGAGACCAATAGTGTTGAAGTTACTCCTGATGATCACGCGACTATCAATGGTATTACTAGCGGCAAAGAAAATTCTACCCCGGTCGAGGATGAAACGTTAGCTGAATCGCAACAGATTTCAACGGCCTATGTTCAAAACAACCAAAGGTCGAATAATTCTGGCCAAGCAGAGGTATCTGAAATTGACACAATGCGACAGGATTCCGATGCAGCATTAAATTCTGACAAGGAAATATCAGACCCTGCTGATGATGACGTATTTGGTGGCAATGTCGTGGACAACGAAGAAGCCGGCAAGTGGCTACGAGAGGCCTTTTCCGTGTGCAGCGAAGGAGGTGATATTGAGCGACTGGCTTCAGAGGCAGACAACAACCAAGATATTGCATCTTTGAGTGTATCTCAGCTGCATGAAGACAGCAGCGAGGAAGAAGCTAAAAGGTATTCTTCCTATTTGTCTTTTTATGTAATGATTTAGCATTCATTATCAAAGCTGATAAAGTCGCATCTATTTCCTTAATCCTTAATATATACAATTGTCGTCTATCTATTTTTGCCCTACAGAGCTCTTCAACCAACTTTAAAATCAAAACTTTAATTTTCAGAAAATTGAATTAGATTATTAGAATTGTTAAGTTAATTACAGTGGTTTAGGATCAAGTATAAAGCTATCAGCAATACATGCTAATTGTACTATTTTTATGGTTTCGAAATGGACAACTGCTTTTTTTTTCCAGCACGGCCTACCGTATTTTAATGGCTAGTAACATGCTTAATACTTTAGACTAAGTATTTCGTTTATAATGAAAGATTTCCATTGGCTTTTTGTGGATTGTCTCTTTGTTTATATATCTAGCTTGCTTGAATTAATTTTTTCTCTAGCCCAAAAAAGCTTGAAGATGATTGTACTGGAGAAGATGAAGAGAACGACCTGATAGAAGCGTTGTGCAGTTTGCCGAAATTGCCCGATGACGTTGCCGATGATGATACAGATCAATATAAAAACGAGGATTTGCCCGAATGTGCCATTGACGGTAATATCCCTAAGCAAATTCACGATGATGCACTTGAAGATGACACTAATGATTGTAGTGGACCTGATTTTGGTTTATCGAGAGAAAACAGCTCTTGTCCAAGGTTGAAAGAGGATGATTGCAGAAATGGGCTCCCAGAGGGTGCTGATGCTGATGCGATAGGTCGTGATGAAGAAGACAAAGTGCGGGAAATTGGAGAAAATGTTAAAGATATGACTGTGTCAGGTGATAACTGCGAGACTTTGCCTACTGATGATGTCTCTGATCGTTTGCTTGCAGGAAGAGACGAAAAGGCGCCAAATTCAGACTTGAAAACGTTACCGCGTCGTAACGATTCGACGAAAAATCGGTTTTCGTTATCACTAGACGACAAGATGAAGGCACGGATACAAAAAGCAATTGAAGCTGATGACTATGTTTACCAAGCTAGTTTAGCCATGAGTGAAGCAATAGAACGAGAGGAACAGAAACAATACCAGTCGTCTTTTGAACTTTACAAATTAGGCATTGGATTGCTGTTGCAAGGCGTGCAGCAGGACGCTGATGAGGAGCGCCGTGTCGCTGTCAGACGCAAAACAGCACAGTATTTATTGAGGGCTGAGAATGTGTACAAAAATTATTTACATGAGTCGAAGAAAGCAAAGGATTCCCGCAAGAGTGCTATGAACCTCGCGGAAGTCAGGACTATTGGAGTCATAGATAAGGTTTTCTTAGTTGAAAGATTTGTGACAGGGGACATTTTTGCTGTTAAGGTTTTGCATAAATGTGGAGCTGAATATAAAAACAAGAGAGAATTTGTTGCCAAAGGGAATAGAAAATTGATTGATAGCAAGTACATGGTGAAACTGCGTCACTATACAGAGACTAGTACCGGTATTTATTTGTTTTTAGAATTCATTTCAGGTGGACTTTTATGGAACTATTTAGATATGGACCTTAGGTGGAACACAGCCTCTTCAAATTGTGACGTGAATGCTAATATGAATCGTACAGATGCCACCACAAGCCGCGCTGGACAATCACAAAATGCAGAGGCAAAGAGTCTGGAGAAGGAAAACCATGGAGTGACTGAAGATATGATCAGAGTGTGGATGGCCGAGATCGTGTCAGTTCTTAGTGATCTTCATGAGCACGGAATTATCTGCAAGTAGGTAAACCTAAATCGTATCTTTTGCGGGTTGAGCCGTGTTCCATTCAATTCTTTGATAAGCCTATTTTTTTTCACTACTTCATAGCTTCCGAAAGTAGCTTTATGGCACAGAAAAACTGGGCTTATTTACCTATGAGACTTATGTCCTTGTTCAGATTTTAATTCATTTTAATGTTCTTGAATGTAAAAATGGCTTTATACTTTCAAGACCTGACCTTTCATAATGACATAGGTACCTGGTATGCCGTTGTGCAATGTTTAGAGAAATCTTCCAATTATTTTATACTACATCTATTTCTATACAGTAAGTTATTATGTAGCATGGTTAACGTCGATATCGCAAACTTTACATAGTGCCTCTTTTGCGGTTTACCTCTTTTGCATTCTGCAGTAATAAATCCACGAGACCATCCCCAAATGCCATTATCTTGATATAATGGTTGCCAAAACTTAACCCAATCACCAGAAAAGTCGCAATGTCCAGCGGCTTGAAAAGTGTAAAAAATTACTCTTGAGAAATTCTATCAAGATTGCATTGAAATAAGCCAAAGAAACGAAATAAGCATTGCTTTTCCGCATGCTAAATTGCAGACGTACCGCCAACTCATCAAAGTTATATGGAAACCAGCCTAAAGAAAAATAGTAATGATGATTCTTGTCGCTTTGTTATTGTTGTTGTAAGTGCCACAAACGAAGTTTTTCGTAGAAAAGTTTGGTTAAGGACTACATCATTTTGTCACATTTTTAGATGCTTGCAGTTTTATGCTCAAAACTGAATTGGTTGACTTCTGGCTTGCTAAATCACTCATTCAAAAGCTTCTTATACGTTTTATGACAAAATTTTACAATAACGATGTATGGAACCGTTTCTTTCGGGCGTATTCCTTTGTTTCTTGGCAATGTATTCTTAGCAAACGTCGAGCGTGTTCAAGCAGCATTTAACGTCACTGCCACCACGAAGGAAAATCTTTCTTTACCATTTAACACCCGCTAGCAATTACAGGGGAAAGTACTGCAAGAAAGTCAGGATTTGAAAAATTATAGGCGCTCTCTCAAATATTTGTTGATTCAGAAATGTATAAACATTATACTGCTATTGTCTTTTTAGAGATCTCAATCCACGGAATATCCTGTTGGATAGCGACGGCCACATCAAGCTGACATATTTCTCAAACATCAGAGGTGTTGAATACTGCATTGACGAGAATGCCTTGAAGAGATCTTATGCTGCTCCAGGTTTGCCTGCCCCGCTTTGATCTATTCAATGAATTCTTATTCTCGAAACATTTGCTCGGTCAAACACGCTCAGCATTTGTAGCTAAACTTCCTTGGGGAAGGAGAGGTGCTCATTTATTTTAGGGAAGGGGTGCTCAGGTTACTTTTTCAGGTTTAAAATGTGGGCAAAAGTGATTTTTAGGGTCTCTCAATTGTTCATTGATTTTTTGGGTTTTCAAAATTCTGTTTGTTTGTTTTCTTGAACATGGGAAAAATTTTAAGAAAATAGAGAAAAGCTGATTTTTTTGTGCAATGGGAGAACAATTATTTTTTGCATCCATTTTCATGCTAGATATTTTTTGGGTTGATGGTTTATACCCCTGCCTGAAAACCTCTACCCTAAGTATATACGAGTGCCCCCTCCCCTCCTAGGTCAAACATCAATTGTCATCGGATCTGTTTTTTTTCATCCCACACTAGAAGATTTTTCCGTTTATCGCTTGTCTTGATCTTTTACTTTAATGAAGAAAACTTTCAGAAGCCTTTGGCAACTGCATATTTAATCACATTACTCATTTTTTATAACAAGATGACAATCCTTTTTCCTTGATCCCCAACCAAGCAGCGTTTTAAAAACCGCAAACAATTGCATACTTAACTATATCACTCATCTTTTTATGATCACGTGAAAATCTTTTTTCTTTAACGAATTTAAAGATTATTCAAATTATATTTAGGCAACTTGGTACCTCTATTGAGTTTGAAAACCATAACTAAAACAATGCATGATCATAATTTTTTCGGTGGTACAAAACTTGCAAAATGACTTTGAAAAAAGCAAACATGCGATTCTGCTATCGGGCAGCTGCTACTGGAAAACCCAGATTGTGCAAAAAAACTATAATGGCGCCATGTTTCGGATAATTGGTGAAGCCTGTTCATCGTTTCATCTAGCAGTTTTGGAATCTATCTATATAAGCAAGAAAAGCCGCTATTCTGTAGACAAAAGGAGTTCATTTTCACGTTCGGACTCCATTGGTATCATTCTCCATAGGTAAGCGGCACTGATTGGGCAACCTTAACAGTCATGTGCTCGCGTTTCTTATTGGCCTATTTCGATCCACAACTCGGTATATATATTCCCTAGCGTAGAGTTTTCGATCTATGTCCTGACGTTTTAAACTCTGAAGAGTGTCAGACGAAAAGCTTTAGTTTAATCAAATTTTTACTTTTTCCAAAGCCATAATTTTTTCCTAAAATTTTTGCTACCTCCTTAGTAAAATCTGAGTGAGATCTTTGCGCTCTTTTGATGTTCGTTAGGCTGAGGTTCGATGGATTCATTGCATGGAACTTGATTCGCTTGTCGCGTAGAGAATTTGAATTTCCCATTCTTCTTTGGTATTTAGTTCCGGGTCTAGTTTTTTAATTTATACGTGTCTTAGCATCGTATTAAAGATTATCCTTTTATCATGTAACATTGGTTAATACATGGCAAGTTTCATCACTGTTGCAAGTTAACAGTAAATTCATCATCCGCTCAGACTTACCTTCATACCCCCTTTTTAAGCGAAATTATTCTTGCATAAATTTTCTGGCGTTCAATGAACACCTTCTGTTTAAGCGAAATTATTCTTGCATAAATTTTCTGGCGTTCAATGAGCACCTTCTGTTTAAGCGAAATTATTCTTGCATAAATTTTCCGGCGCACTTTCTGCAAAGTCTCTGAAGCCAGCTAAACGATTATGCAGAATATTGCAAGGCATTTTGAAATAGATTAGCAATGTAGCTAGACAGGTATCGTGATCAATAAGATGCAGTATTTATTTGAAAATCGGTAAAGCTAATCTTATAACTTTATTCAGTTTAATTCATTTGTTGATGCGTCAACAATTTTTATTTTTGTGTTGCTACCTCATTATCAAGTCTTCCAAAAAATGCCCTAAGTCTATTCTATTGCAGAGGCCAATGGGATATTTCCTTTGACACAGGCAGCTGACTGGTGGAGCCTCGGTGCTATTTTCTTCGAACTTTTGACTCGCAAGGTATAGTTCATTTGCCACACTTGCAAAACTCAAGTCTAATTTGCATTTAATAGTCTTGAAACCATAATCCCTTTTTTTACTGTATTTGATACACTTCTTTTGCAAAATCGGTGCTTATTTCAGACTAAATCTATGTAACATTTATAGGCAATGTTGAGGTCTTTCACAAATATTCTTAAACGTGAATATTTGATGTTCTGGCATGAAAACCAATCGTTTTTGTTTTACATTTCTGTCACTTCTCTTCCTTTCTCCAGCAAGTGAACTTCAAATATTTCACTTTTCAGATCAACTTCTAGGTTCCTATAAACTTCCCTTATTGTCTCAGATAAGTTTTCAAGTGATTATCACCTTCAAATTGAGTTTTTTTTCATTTAATTTGAATAGACCATTTGGCGCGGTATTTAAAGCCGTCTAGGACCCACGTAAGGACATTAACCTGTAAAAAATTGAGCTAAATTCAACTTTCATCACAGCTTTAAGAAATTAAGCTTCAGCTGTGACCCAAAAAGCCAATTTAAAAATATTGGAATGATTAGCTGGTTTTTCTCGACTTTCTGAATGAAAGCAGAACGTAGTTTATTGACTTATAAATCTTTCGGCTTTTCGAAATTTGATTTTTGAAAATTGGTATGTAAATATGCACTGAAGATTTATATATCACCCATAGATTCAATTTCTCAATGAGTTTAATCTTTGCATTTGATTAGAATTTTCACAATGTTTAACAAGTTCAAAAAGTTTCCTGTGTCTTACGCCAAAATTTGAAGCTTCTGTGCCATCAAATATGCCTTCTGCAAAACCGGATCAATATCAATTATAGCTAGTTTTAAAAATATTTTCGTATCAAAAGTTTGGTTTGAATCCTTGGCATTGGACCTAGAAATATTGAACAAAAATAATCGAATTAAGCTGTATCAACTCTTTAAAGGTTATATTTCTACGGAACAAGACATAGGCTTAGAAGTCTTCACTGCAAACATGTTTTGTTTATTTGTTTATGTAATCACCAAACTGGAGCTACACAAGAGAATGCTCAGAGACAAGACATATATGATAATACATGACCATAATATATAGGCACTTGTGGAACGTTTGCGGGAGACTGATTTTTCTTTGCAGTCTCTTCATTCATGTTACCCAGCTGGAATTCATTCTCATTCGATTATAAACCTCCCAAAGCCAGTAAGCAACGAAGCTTGGTCACTTCTTGCTGGGGTAAGGATTTTAAATCATCTTATTTGAGTTATCAGTTATGAATTTTCAAATTTCAATTCTTAGAACTCTTGGTGCAAGTAAAATTTTGGAGCTGTTCTGCACAGTGGTGCCTTAGTTTAGAAGGTCAAATAGCTCTTGTATACCTACATGTCTTTTTCTCGTTATAATTCGATTTGAAACGGTTTACATTTTCACTCAGAATTACATTTTCACCGAAAGATTCATTTTCTATTTTATTATATTTCTATTAAATTTAGTAATTAGATAATATGTCTTGAAAGTAATCTTCTAGCATGTAAGAGCAAATTTTTGGTTTATTTTCTTGAACAAGTTAGCACTAACTGCGTGACTTTGCTTGTTTTTAGTTGATTCGGTATAACTCAAAGGACAGACTGGGTGAGTGTTGATCAATTTAATTATCGTATAAATCAGTTTCTTGGCCATTTATTACTGGTAAAACAAGCTCGCATTTTTTAAGATACTTGTTTAACCTGTTTCCTCGCTAAACTTAATATATGCGGCGATTTCGGAGAAAGCGGACAGCTGCGCACTGTGTCCTTGACCAGAGAGTGCAGAAAGTGCCTATTTGGTCGATGTGTCATCGAATTCTAGGGTCCGGAGAATAGAGCATGCTCCATGTCAACCCTTCACATAAGTTCGTTACATTTTATGCACGTCTTTCAGACTTTTAGATATCAGTAACATCATTACTTAACGAAGAATCTTTCTCACAGCAAGGCTCAACTCTCTACTAGAACTGTGCCTAGTTAAAAGTGGTATTTTGGTAGTCAACATTGTTAAGGTGGTAGTCAACATTTAAGGTGACATCTTAGTAACGGAATCAAAATTTCAACCTTTGCACATAAAACAAGATCTGCACATAACAAAATTTTGCTCTGGAGAATCAACAATTTTCTTCTCCCTTCGTCTTTGTCAGTTCGAAGATTTTTCTACCACTGAGTTGATGCAGAGAAAAGTGCTATGAAATTTCCGATAGTTTCCGAAGTTCATTGCAACAAAATATAATTTGATGTCGTTCTAGGCCAAACTGTATGGTGGAGTGACAAAAAATTTCCAGGGGAGTACCCTCGAACCCCACTTTTCTTGGCTGACTTCACTCATCTACCACCTTCGTACCTTTGGTAATAGTCAGCCCCCATTTTTCCTGCCATACTTCCAGCATTCCTGGATATATGATAATTTATGTAAATGATATAAGCTCTATCTTTGATTGACATTTCGCTCTCATAATACCAGTGTAGCTTCACTCTCCTGCAAGTACATATTGGTCGTTGCCGTTGGCTGTTTTGCAAATTGTTGCCACAGCACCGCTAAATTGCAGTTTCACAACGGTCACATAATGCTCTTTTTTGCAAACAACCTTGTAAATCCTCCTTATTCTTGGCTAACCGCCTGATTCTATTTACATAAGTCTAGCCTAGCTTTGGCCTGTCACCTGCGAGTTCTTTTTTCTCATTGTCATCGTATGTCAGGTAGTGGAAGAAACCTTTATCTTTTCGGAGTGTTCGTACGCTCTTTTCATTGTTTTCTTTACTGTTGAATTTCTACCTACTTGCCTAACTCTACAACGATTTGCTCACAATATGCTGCTTCGATTGACTGAACCAATCTCTGTACTTGTTCTTTCAAATCATGTTGGCTGGATGCTTGTGTTTGAAGCCAATGTAAAGTTGGCTTTTTGTTACCTGATGCCTACGTATTTTTATGAACAAATGGCAATAGTCGGCTTGAATTATTATTTGCAAACATGCTGCCAAAAAGGATCAAAGGGATTGTGATTTTTTAAACCTCAAATTCTAACGTAACAGTATAAGCAGCTTTCAATTTGGACAATATAAGCGCTGCAAACTTGAGGCGCTTTGCTAAAGATGTCTGCTGCGAAGTTAGCTTTTCATGTGAGCAGTTTTGCAACGCAAGAATACTGACCAATCGCAAGCCGTTTTTTTCGATAGATGGCTCGACAAGTTGGGTATACGCAGTCCTTTTATATGAACACATTACCTTTAACAATTATATGTGAAACGTATGTTTCGCAAGAATCCGTACTTGCTCTGATTTTTTATTTGTTTTGTTGATTAACAGCAACTTTTCTGTTGAAGTTGAAAATTTTTGAAACAACTTTGGGTGATAAGGCCTGGTTCAAACGTCACACTTCTCATGTGCCGAACCTAACTCTGTTTGGAGCGACACTTGAGCATGTTTAGCGCAACTCCCGTTTCAAACGTCGAACTTAATTATGTCGCGCCAAATGGGTTTTAGGATTGTTACATGAAGTATCTTCGTTGAGGCACGCAATCTCAAATATTTGTTTGAATTGCAGGCGCCCTCCAAGAAAGAAATGAATTATGGGAAGGAAAATAAATTAAATATAATTATGCATTGAGTTCGGTACATGACAAGTTCGACGCTTGAAACCGTGCCGTGCTGGAGTCGTCCAGCTCGGCAAGCTCTGCCGATCCAAGCTAGTCTGCCACTCCTAACCAAATCTGCCGTACCAAATTGATTCAAACGTCGCGCCCCTCATGTACTTAATTCTCGAGTTAGGTTCGGCGCACGAGAAGCGCGATGTTTGAACAAGGCCTAAGTTGCCCAAACAGTGATGAACTGAAAACTGTGAAACTTACATCGTTAAATGATGCATCGATCAAATCTGATCGTATTGAGTTAGATTGGTTGGTTCAAATATGTGTTTTGCATTGACATTCGATTGTATCTTTTTGCTTAGAATAGAATTGAAGGCGGTTGTCAAAACTTCAAACTTATGCTACCAATTCATCCTAAGGCAGATAATATAGACTCGGCAACAGATAATATAATTACCTCAAAGAGCCCATTTTGGAAATTATTTTATTACCTTCAACCAGCTGCCCAAATAGGAGATTCTATTTTGATATTGTCATGTTAACAGAATTCACAGCTAACCCAATAGAAAGCCACAGTTTAATTTCGCGAATTTGCTTGCCTAAAACTTGGAGGTGTTGCGAATACCTTTATCTGCTTTCGACTGATTTGTTAAAGATCTTGGCGTGGTTCTCGAAACGCGTCTTTTTCTCGTTAACAACGTCAATCTTATTATGAGGTGCTAGTTCCCACCCACAAACCGATGAGGAAATCTCATTTATCTCTTGTGTTATAATGTTTTTTGTAATTATCTGTTACAGGATTTGCTTTATGCTTAATTCGCTAATTTTGTTTCGGTTTGTTTATTGTAAAAGACTATTATTTAATCGCGAACTTCTGCCCATTAAGTCTCAGGGCAGTAGGTTCGGAAATTGTAAGCTCTGTTTAAGCTTGCAACACTATAACTACAGATTGTTGTGAAATCATTCAACCGCTAGAGAAATCCATTTCATTTGCATATCTCATTGGTAATTTGACTGTTTCGTTCGTGAATTTCTTTTGGTGAAGTCATTTTAAGTACAGACAGTACGTCGTGTCGTTGGCTTATGAAAAATCGAAATGTTTATTTTTAGTACAACGTGCCTTGCGAATGCTTATATTGATATTGCCAATTTGGGCAAAAATACCCCCAACCGACTATTCGGAAATTTTCACAGTCACTTCCAAGATCTAAACCAAACTTCGGCAATCTTGGACACATCTTTTAAGACCAACCCCTAGAAACGTTTCAGGTAGTATGCGTTTAGAGTTTCATATCTACCCCCTCCTTTCCTCAAAGTTGGTGCATATACTTGTTGGTACATATGATTGTAGGTCCTTGTTGTGACGTTTCATGCTGGTGCTAGGCATTATTAAATGTTCTATTTTTAATTCTTTTTTGCAGGCTCTGGTGTGGCTGGCTGTGAGGAAATCAAATCGCATCCATTTTTTGCATCGATAAACTGGAAAGCGATGTGATGCTCGGAACATAACTGAATCGTATTCAGTAATTTTAGTAAATTTTCGCGATGTATTGCATTTGTTAGGTAGATATTAAACAAAATTTATTAGGAGTCAAGTCTGGAATATTTGAAATTCATTCTGAGTATCTTATTCTGAAAATGGATCACCTCTGGTTTTTCTTGTATCTGTTGTTTTCTTTTTCTGGCAACTTCAAGTTTATCGTAATCTGATTTGACAACATTTTCTCAAAAATCCCCATAAGATCTCCAAAGACCTCATTAATCAGCTACTTAAACAGATATTGTGAAGGAAAACCTTTGATCATTTTAAAAAAGAAATTCCTACACTCCGACATTTATCTGTCTTCACTCATTTTTACTATTTTTTATATACCAGGCCTAAATGCTTGTAAAATCGCTAATTCTACTCGAAAATTCTATTACTAAATGGATGTATGTACAAATGCTCTTACATAGAATCTATAGCTATGGAGCTAAACTGGTACTGGCCTCATCTTCCTTATGCTGATAAGTACAAAAGTACTTTTTCTTTTTTTGCAAGACCTCGTCAAGATGAAGACCTCGTCTTTTCATGAGGTGATGAAATGAAGAACCCTTATAGATTTGTCGAAAGGTCCTAGAGACACCGGTCTGTCTACTGCATAAATATTGAGCAAACACAGACTTAAAGGGGTTCAATACACGATAATGCAGTCTCATATTTACATGATTGAAACCTTTAAGCGAAAGCATAGCACTTTTGGATCATTGCGAAATCCCAAAGATACATTATATCCCACGTAGCTTGGGAAAATAATGAATTATTTGGCCTAACCTAGCTTCTACCGTAACGATAGCTCTGCAGTTGTCCAAGCGACAAGGTTCTTTCACCTTGACATTAAATTGATCGATTAGCAGCAAACTCTACTAGTAAAAGCATCCTTTCATGCAAATTTTCTCTCAATTCCGATTTTAAAGTAAATAAAATCATCAAAAATTAGGTATACATGAAGTACTTATGTTTACGGAGTTAATTCTCCTACAAAGTGCGTTATTTGCAGCTTTTTGAGCAGGAAATACAAATATTTGGTAAAAGTGTGCTTTATCAGATCGTAGACTATCATAAACATCGCTAACGAATTATGATTTATGAAAACAGGGTTATTTGTTCGGAAGCCCTAAAATTCTGTATCAAAATTGAAATTTGATCAGGAATGCAGCAGTTTCTTCAATTATAGTTATGCCCTCTTCAAACTTCTAGAAGAGTTTGTCATTACTTAGGAAGGGCTTCAATAGTTTCCTGTAAAAGTTTTCTGTAAAAAATAAGCGTGGACAATGTGGTGGATTTTTGCCGCTTCGTATTGCTTGTTTCTTCAGCTAGCCGAGCATAATTTTCAACTGGACTTTGTTTTCCAGCTTAAAGAACTGTCAGTTGAGTTTTGAAAACAAAAATCAAATCCGATTTTCTTGCCTACAGCAGTAACAGTTCCTTGTCAATAAATGATATCATAATATTAGAGAAGTATACTTCTCAATGTTTCTACATAGTTTTTGGCAGTAAAGTTTTCGGACGGTAAGAATTTCGGACGAATTTTTGAGGATTAATGTATTCTGCCCAAACTTGTAACACGATGAAATTCCATTCCGTTCCAGAATAATGACAAATAAGGAAAGCCAAGAACACTTTATCACTAAATATTGCGACATACAAGATACACGTTAGGTGATCAAGCATGCTGTTGTTGGTTGAATATAGGATGTAAATTTGGATCGTTCAAACGGCGCTTTGAAAATCATATTATGTGTGTAGACTTTTGTAGGGCTACTAGTTCAAAGCCTAAACAATTTCAATGCCTGCCAGCAGTCTTGTATACTACTCCAGAATTTTGCGAATTTTCAATGGCGCCCTCTTCTTCCCCTATCAAGCAATGCCGCTGTTGTTGTTTTTGTTATCGCAAATTGGTTTAGGACAGAGAGGTGAGATTTTGGCTTATTTGGCCAAAAGTTATAATTTCTCGTTTCCTACAGGACGTTTTACAGACTTCAGCTGTGACTGAAAACGTTTCTAGTTGTTGATGGGCAGTGAGATTAACTCTATCGGCAGTTGACAAACGGAGAATTTGTGGTTTTGGTGTTGACTAATTTTTTCTGTATTCTATGGTCCTTAAACAGATGCGTAACAAATAACGGACCAATAGCTTTGATACTTGTTTACGGAACATTCCATTTCTCTTATAACATACATGAGGCAAATTAGAGCTTTCTTCTTCTACAGTATTTTTGATGGATGTTATCTATCCTCCAATTCTACCTTTCTCACCACCCAGCGTTGACGGATTCCATAAACAAGCGACTCGTACAAGGTCGTACAAGTCATATACTTCTATAACTTTCTTCTTGAAAAGATTCATTATTTAGATCTTACTACAGGCTTTTGATTAATTTATTGCTTCTTTTCGTGATATCAGTGGCAACAATTCAATTTTGGTCCATCTGGAATGCCGCAAGGCTCTGCTACAGGACCATTGCTTTTGCTGCTGTATAGAAATTAACACAAATAACGATTGAAAATCTAAAAGTATCTTAATCTGAATAGGATTATTACCAATCAACCAAGATGCTTTAACTATTTGATAATCTCAAAAACTTAAGCAAAACAAGCGATTTATCATATGTCAGCTGCAAAATTGCTAGTTTCTTTTTTCTCTGAACATCATCATGCAAAAAGAGTTGAAATAGTAACACTGTAGCGCTCTTATAAGATGGATGGTATCACAACCCTACAAAATACTACTTTGCCTTTCCAGCAATACCGAATAAATAATTTCTAGTAACTATCTTCACTTCTTCCTATTTTTAGACTATTAAATTTTTAACCAATAATAATAACTTTTTATACTATCTGAACTTTGTTTATTAGCATCCTGCATTATGAAATAAAGCATCCGGCTTTCATGCTTTCATGATTCAGTTTTAGTTCAAGTGCTCAGCCCAAAACAATCAAATCTTAGTAAAATACCCTTATTTTATTGTTTAAAAACATTTAACTGAATATGATCATTTAAAATATAACAACATAGAGATCTTCTCTCATCAGTTAAACTTTCAAAAGAGTTCTCTCCCTCAAAAATGTTCTGCATATATAACCTGAACCAATTTAAATTTGCCTTTTGCTGATTGTAATTCGTCATTGTGCTTGAATTCATACTGTTTTAATATTTAGTATCTTCTTCGTAATAGTTAATATTGGTGTTTTATTATATTTGCTATTTATTATAAATGTAAACAAAATGAAATCTGGAATGAAACGAAAAAATTGAATGATTAAATAAACTCGACATTTAATCATTTTCTCCTCATTTCTCGAGGTAATTTGATTATTCAATTTTTAGTTTTCACTTCAGACTTGATTTCACTTTCAGTCATTATAAAGTAAATGCAATAAAATACAAATTACCACGAAAAAATCGCACATTATACAGTAAACTGGCACATTATAATTATTCGAGTGTTTAACACGTCAGGACTGACACATTCGGTAAAAATTCGCAAAGACTCCCTCTTCAATAAGCTTTTGATGGATGAAGGCCTCACTCGGAGGTTGCAATCGAAGAAAATCCCCCGATCTTTCGCCAGATACGTAAAATATAACTTTTGAACATTTGTGAAATCTCCAGGTTAATTAGCGCTGAAATAACTACAGGCTATGTTATTCCCAAGTTTACTTCTTGGCAGTGGAATACAGTTTTGTGCTTTATTTATGAACATAAATATAACTGTCTTTTCATAACATATGATCGTTAATAAGAGATTCACACCACATGATAAGATTTGCATCTTCGCGTGGGTATACTGTCCTCCTTTTTATATTCATCAGCGTCCTGTTTATAGAGCATGGCTTGTAAGTAGAAAGAAGATTTTAAAGAGATAAGCCAAAGCCGCAAGATTGATAGGACTAATATTTCAGACTCATAAATTGTAGATGTCTTGGTTATCAAGTATTTTGTGAGTACAGAAACGAGTACAAAGGGGTTGTTTTGTCTCTTCTAGGTCCTTATGCATCTTCAGCAACAGTTATTTTGTGTTTACTCAAAGATGCTGATTCACTGGTTCGAACTTTCCACAATTTGGGCATCAAGTTATTATTTCAGAATTTAATGAGTTTCTGAAAATGAAGCATATTCCGTATTGCTTTCACAAAATGCTCCATAAGTATAATATTAGCTGCTCCAAACGATAAATGGAATTATTTACATATTGCTTCGGACTGCATATAACAAAATCAAGAGTGAAGGCATTGAAAGGAGTCATTCACACTAAGCAGACGTTATACTGTGTGTAATTATAAAGGAGTCGAAAGAGATGGGTATTTAATTCAACCATTATTACGGATGTGTATTTCATTCAACCATTATTCAGCAAGCTACACACAAAACTCCTTGTGACACAACTGTTTCTGTATGAAACACAAGTCAAAATAATCGATTCATCTTAGAATGAGGCATTCGTAGTGTCTAGACGCTTTTTGCGATTAGCAATCGTTTTATGTGAAGGCCTTGTTTTAGTTAAGGTTTTCAAGCACCCAAGAATTTTTCCATTTGTCAATTAGTTTTTTATTGGCAAAACTGAATGGAAATCAGGGGAAAATTAAGAGCAATTTGATTTCGATAGAATTGAAATTCTCAATCGGTCAAGTAAAATGTTTTTATATTCACGAAGACAGAAATTTATCTGTTAATTTGGAATAAAGTGTTCAAGAATGAGCCTGTAACTAGAGTTGCTCAATTAACAGCTGTACCACTGTGCATTAACAAAAATCTCCTTTCTGGTTGAATTTGGCAACGCAGCACGCCAAGAAAGCCTGGTATTAGCTTCCAGAAAAGCCATTTTGGCGGAGGTATGTTCACCAGCGCGATTGTTCGTTCGAAATCAATAATTTAAGAATGAGAACAGCGCTAGATCTGCCACAGAGAGAAAATTCTTTATGAAAGTTGAGGACCGACGTTAAATTATTCCAAATTTGACATAGAGGTTTAAGATTTTGATCATTTCACAGCTTTATTTGCATGTTCTCGTATAAGATTACATGAAAAATTTATACAGAGGCTGCCAAACACTGCAATATAGCGTACTTATATTAAAATGGTAGAGGTCCAAAGCGAGAAATCAGTTTGTTGTCCGAAGCTTTGATTTCCTTAACCTCTTTTGTAGGCAAGGGACTCGATAAACCAGGTGTCCATTTCTCAAGCCAGTTTTCATTCCTTGATTTCGGCGCGGGGAAGTCCGTTATACAGTAAATTCTGACACGTTTGTGGCGTTCAAGGAAAATTCTTATTGGAGCAGGAGGGTCTGGGGCTACACCCGCAAGGAAAAATTCTTAACACCATCCATACTGGTAGGTTGACATAGGTTTTTTTCTATCTACAGACTTTTTAGTAATGCTTTTGAGACATTTTAAACACTTAATCAATGATTTAAAAGGGCTGAGACGAGAAGATTTCAAGTGGCCTTGGCCCGGACGGAAGCCAATACCAATGCCATTGGTGGACTGACTGGGTCCCATCCCCCACCCCCAAGTTCTCGGCAGGATCAATTTTGTATTTCGTCTGAATACGATGAAAAAATGTTGGGGGAGGGATAATATTTTGGCAACGTACTTTTTGTGATTAAATCCCACGATTTTGAATTTGACTTTACGCAGCCAGAAGGTAATCATGGGCGTTCCCTTCAGGTAAAATTGGCGTTCCTTGTTGGTAAAAGAGCTTTTCTGGGTGCAAAAGGGGATTGCCTAATTTTCCTACTTTGTTCCCCCCTCCTACCCCAGGGCCTAGTATTGGCTGGCACTGCCACTGTTAGAGACTGATATGGTGGTGCGGGGAAGATCTTGTACATGCACTTGAATGAATGCAGACTGGCTCCCAAGTGCTAAAACTAAATGTAACATGTACATGATAAATTGCGGAGTTTATCCAAATAATTTCATTCTATTATGATTTACCTGGAGTTCTGGGCATAGACCATTAGTTTGAGAATTAAAAAAATCGTTGTCAAAGGAAATGATAGCTAAAAGTTCTTGATTGATTTTTACATGGATGAGTTGCAGAAATCAATTATATTTTGAAGAAATAGAATAATCTTTTTCAGATGAATCCTAGACTAGTAGGAATTCTTTGAATCAAAGTTGATGCACAAGATCGCTAGTAGTTTGATGTCTATTAAAAAATTAACCATTGCAACATAGTGAGCTACTAATGAGAGGGGCTTCAGTTTGACATACACCAGGGATGGTTACCCTGTTACCCTCATCTTGTTGGCCTCGTTATAAACTGGGTTTGCTCAAAGAATTTTCTGTGTCTTGCTTGTTTTGTTGTTGCTGCTTGGGTTGAGGACATAGAGCACCGACTGAAGGGAACAGAACACCTGCACCAGGAGAAAAGCGAAGCATTCTCAACTTGATTCAAAGGATTTTTTCTGTTTGAGAAGAACTGCAAGGAAATTGTATTGTCTCGCGTGATCAATGGCGCACTGGATAAGCGGATGATACTCTGATTGTCCGCTAAACCAGACCGGTCCGCAGGTGTATTAGGCCCAAAGGCCACTAATTCTGGGCTATAAATAGTTAAAAGAGTTCTCTCTTTCGCAGATGCTCTCGTGGCTCGCTTGGAAACACACTGAATATTCAAAAGGATCAGGACGGTCGCATTTTCCAATATGAACTTTTTTAAAGGACAGTTTTTCATTTTGATATTCATTGCCGCAAACTCGATAAAAGAACACGAGTGCTCGTTTTCGCGGAAGGCCAAGAAAAGTCAAACGGAGTCGGAAAATGGAGAATTACTTTCTTTAAAGAGGGTATGTGTAAAATTATTTATAATCTTAGACGATTTTTAGTCACTGAGAAAGTAATGGTTTTATTTTCCTTTTTGATTTCTTGGACGTTTTTAACAGCTCAGTTGTTTAGTGTTGTTGGCAATACCTGTTAAAAAGGTCAAGTGTGCTTAAATTCCGTTTCAAGGAAGGTATGACATCGTGTTCCTATTCAGTCTGTGAGGATACATCCGCTTAGGTTTCGTTCTCTTTTATCAAAGAAACTCCTCGAAACGAAGCTTCTCGTGAAAATTCTCCTCATTGAAAAAAGAAGGTCTTCTTTTGAGTGAAGTTTCAGATTGCTAATGAATGGGTTTTTTCATAACCTGCCCTTGGAGATAAGAAATGGTTTTGATGATAAAGAGACCTCTGAGAGTTTTTGTCATGAAACAAGTTTAATCAGCGAAAAGTGGGCGATTTAAATGTTTTTCTTTGATCTTAACTTTTCAAATTTCTTAAAACATGTTTCCTGATCGTGAAAAATGTCATTCATTCTCTGACATTTTCCCAATTTTTTGGGTTTTGTGAACTCTCTTAAAAACTCAGAATAAGTTAATTTACAATTTTTCTTTATAATTTTTAAAAGGAACATTTTTGTTATTCATCAGGTTTATTAATTGTTATTTCTCATTTAAAAGGTCTCAATAGAGATTTTTTCACTGCTACTATGTTGCTATCTCAAGACACTTTTTGCATGAAAATTCAGGGATCCAGTTTGGCAGCTTAAATCGTCTGCATTTGTACCCTATGAAATTTAATACATGTTTTCCAACCAGTCCTTGGTTACACTTTAGATTGAATACCTAGAATTTTGTTAGATATAAATAATTCTTTAATGTAATTGAAGTAACTCTGTGATTTTAGATTTTTCTATCCATCTGTCATCTATAGTCTATCCCTGTATAATAATGTTTGGTTGAAATAACCTTCTTCTGTTTTCAAAATACAAAACTGCTATATTAAATATACTTGAAGTTAATTGAACTTTAATCTTTCAATGGCTTGAATCTTCAAGAATCAATAATTTGGCCTTTTTTAGAGAGTTTTCTTGTCTTTTTATATGAGCATCAATGATAAGTTCTCTAGATAAAGCTTATTGAACAGCAAACAGGGTTTGAAAGCAAATGATACTGCTCAGCACAAAAAAGATTTACCATGCTTAGATTAGCAGTTGAGAACTTGAATGATCAAAATTCATTCCAATCAATCAAAAATTTATATTCTATCAGACAAGGCATTTGCAACATTAATATTCCAAGCCACGAAATGTGAATCTGAAAGTTTTCATGGATTTCCAAAATGATGAATCTAGATAAAAATGATGAATGACAAAATTTTTCTTCTAACAGAACTTTTTTTGAATTATAGACAACTGCAAAACCATGCTCATAAAAGAAATTATTTATGAATTTTCCTAACTTTGAAATGTTGCTAAGCTATTTTGCTAAATTTTGCAAATACCTCTAATTCAGTTCTTGTTTTCAGTAATGTTTGTTCATATAAGTAATTTTTAGCTCAAATAGGCACTGGTTATGACTTTCATTAGGTAGATTCAAAATGGAATTTTCTATAAAACATATAAAAGATGCTTCTGTTTCTAAGAGCAGCAGCAAGGTTTTGATTCAAACATGATGTTGATAATAAATATTAGATTTAGGTATTTCAAATAATGATCAGTAATGATCTGGAATTTCAAATGTGATAATCTTTTATATTGCAATATGCAATTTTGTTTACCGTAAATTTTTATTTTTTATGTATGATCCTTTAAACTGTCTGCAAAGGTCTTGGCTTATAAAACTTTAGCTTGGAGCTTATAAATCTCAATCAAAATTTACTATTTATTCAATATTATAAAGTATTTTTTATGATAAATTTAATCTGTTGCATTTGAATGTAATTAGCTTCTTTTCTTCTCCAGAAATACCATAAGCTCCTGGAGCTAAGTAAAAGAGGAATTAAGAGATTGGTTGATCTGAATGATTATCAGAGGTTTTATAACAATTACCTAAAGAAGATTTTGCGCGTTCGTGTTCCTGGCACTGTTGGTCACAGAGAAGTAAAACAGGTAAGTCTTTTTAGCTACAAATGTTGATTATGAATATTAGAAAGATATCAATAAATCACATTTATGCAAAACAGAAGGTTTCTCAGTACTATTTCGTTTTAATGTTTAACTAATTTTCATCAGCTAATGCTGTATCTGTTGCTTCTAACTGGTGACATTTCAGGGATCTTGGTGTTGGACTATGCTCATATCACTCCTACACAATGCTCTGTTAGTTCAATATTGGAAAGACAGTGGTCATTTGAAGTGCTTCAGTTGTAGGTTGTACTACCAGTTCTGTTTGAAGTTCCTCGAATATATACCCTTTGTTATAAGTGAATGTCACTAAGAAGCCAAGCCAAAAATGTCCAAAAAATTTAGAGACTATAGTACTTATCATAAGAAACTGCCCAAAAATCAGTTGGAAATATTTCTTTGGGCACCTATATCCTGTTTATTTGACATTGATAAATGGAAGAAAGAGCTTCTTGTGACCTACTTTATGTTCTATTTCATGTTTTCTTGTGTAAAAAGTAGCTGTTTAGCTTTTGATATTTAAGAAACTCTATAAAAAGCTTTTAGCATTGAAATAAAAAAATAACAAATTGATTGTTAATCCCAAGCTAAGTTTGGCAGCAAGGAATGAGAGTTATTTAAATCTTCTTTATATCAGTTAAAAGTAGCATTTACTGGTGTCTCAACCCTTTGTTCAGCATCAATGTGATCTGAAAACATTTTTCTTATATCTTCAAGAGATTTTCATATTCACAATTCACATGACCCTAGGCAAGGCACCCGTAATGGAAGAAACTCTCATTTTTGGTGAATTTTCACTCAACTCGAAGCATGGTGAAGAGATAATATTTTCAAGATTCACAAATTGTTTAAATACTGTTCATACTTTCAGTGAGGATATGCAGGAGCTATGTCTGTCTTAAAATTGTAGAAAATGTTAAGAAATTGTGACCTTTATATTGTATGTTAATAGAAATATTTTATCAAAATTGATAGTGAGTTTATATCGTGAAAAATAACTAAAAACACACAAATTTTGACATTACAAAGTACTGCTGATTGTTTGATTCGGTTGGGATATTTATCAGGCAAACATGACAGAACATGATATGTACAAGAGTTTTGGTCAACAAATAATAAAAGCGAAACTTTTTTTCTTATGTATCATCTTTCATCAGCCTCTATTTTATTTTGCTTTTTACCTCAACCTCGCATGAAACATTTACATCTTCAACGTTGGCAAGTTCTTTTATGTTTTTTCATTTTCCACTCTCTTACAACCTCTCTGCCAGTTCACTCAGTCAGTCATAATTAAATTATTTCATTTTATTGAGTTTTTCTTCTGAATGCAATAACATAATGGGGTTGCACAAATGTTTGAGGAATAAAACTTGTTGATTTAATCCCATAACACTCATGTTATTGTCAAGACATAAAATTTTAAATTTTCATTGCTTGCTATCATAAAATATTAATGCATTCAATGTTGAGTGATTTGTTATCAACATCCTGTTCAAAGAACGCCATTGCTGTGTGTTTGCACACTTTGCCTGCTCACACGCCAATTATTTCAAGTTTCAAAACATCTGCCGCTGTTCGACATTTTCACCCAATCGTCATCTTTCTCACCCAGACAACTTTTTATGCTCACAAAATGAAAGGATGCTGAGCGAAGATCCTCGATGACGTAGGAAGGCAGTCAATTATACTGATAGTCAGGTCAAGTGTTTTGATTCTGCTAAGGTTTTTTACTTATATTTCATCTGCTTTCGCCAGCCTTCTGTCGGCCATTTTTTCCTCCTTTTTGTTTTTTGACCTGTCTCTGCTGTTTGAGAAAGCAGCAAAGTTGTGCTCATTAGAAAGATGTCAAATGCACAACTAAAAATCATTAAATTGTTTAAAGCACCAAGTCTCATTGTAACTGGCAAAAAGCAACCACGCTTGGGGAAAGTCTTATCATATCGTCTTTTCCTGTCTTGATACTGTCGTTAGGCCTACAATATAATGTTTGGAACATGATTTGCTCCTAAGATCTCTTTTCCCTACTTTATTGAAAGCCGTTTTGATTCCTATCTATAATTAAAAGCAAAGTGAATCGAATATCATTTTCAATAATGTACGGGAAAAGCTTTGATCCTCTCCACAAAATATTCCAAAAGTCTACAAAAGCCTATCTACTTTCGCTTTCCATTTCTTTCACGATCATATATGGTTTCCTCCATTTCCATCATATAGCCTGCTCAAAAGGTTAACGGAACAGCCATGTAAAAGTCTCTGTTGCCTGTATTTATCAGCTTTGCATCTACACACGTCATTGCTTTGAAGGACTAGTAGAAATTCGAAGCTTTGGATTGGACAATTGGCCACTGTCCTGTAAGATTATTCAGATTCAGCCGGCAGTTTGTGACTAAGAATCAAAGATTATTTGAAGAAAATTATTTGAAATCAAAGACTGATGAAAGCGATGGAATTTTCAAGAGGGATAAAAGTGTAGGAGGTGATTGCTTAACCAAGATATGGCAAAATTCACATAGCTTACGATTAATTGTGCATAGCTGAATCTCAAAGAAGTAATATTTTCAACCATTGGCATCGAATGCAGTCTAGCCGTGCTGTTTTTAAGACAGCGTTCTGATGGACATGGAAGGGTCTGGCCTGGTTTCTTATTCGGGTTGTTGTTTTGCACAGAAAACTGATTCGAAGCAAGAAGAGCTCCACATCCCTTTTGCGAAATTAAAAGGCTTCTCCTTCTCTCAAGTTACAGTATTTTCTATCTAAACTTGAAAATTAATTTCTGTTTGTAACGTTTCATACTCAGCCGGTGAAAGCATTCTTGCAGTGTGTTGCAAAATGTTTTCTCGTCAAATTTTGGAACATGAGTCTACTTAGTCGATGGCCAAAACGAGAAGCTCAGTCAAGAACCCTAACTTGTCTGCTGTATGAAGCACAAAGTTCTATTCAGGGTCAGCGAAACGTAACTGAAAGTGGAGGGGCCAAAATGCCAAAGTCTTGATAGGGCTTAGGAATGGCCAGCACCATGGTTGGCGGCAAGAAACAGTTTAGAATTATTGTATCTTAAGGATGGCCAAAGACTGTATCTAAAATGAATTTTATTTTGAAACGAATGAAATGTCTCATCTGTTGGAATATTGACTTGAATAGGAAAGGTCTTGCAAAGTTTTAGAATAACCTTTATAATATAGCTTTATATATAACTCTTTTTTAGATATAAAAGTACCCAAAATAAGATGGAGGGGAAAAATAAATGAAACACGGATTAACAACGAACATTGATAATGAAATATCAACAGAAGAACTTTCGTATATTAAGCATTTTTGTACAGTTGGGATGTTATTTGACAACATCTAATCTTAAATTTTTTTGCAGTAAGGTGCTTTGTATGTTTCTGAGAAATTTTTCGTTAACAAATAGACCTTGTGAGTCAAGCTTTGGCCATAAAAGAAACGAAACTTCGTCAATTTGTGCTGGCACGAAGTTATTCTGGATCTGGTTTCTCAATTCTTAGCCAGGCTGTTGTGACTCGTTGTACAACTTGGACATGACCGATTTCCTCGATCAGATTCCAATACTCAATTTTACATATGTCTTTTATGGTAAGACAAAGCAATCAAGCTAAAGTGAAGGGCATATTTGAGGGAATACTAGGTATAATTACTTACAGAATGATATACTACATTTCTTTCCACTTTTGCCTACAATTTTTTTGGTCTGCAGAGAAGTGGAGGGGGACATGGCCCCCCTGCCCCCCGGTTTCGCCGGCCCTGCTATTGTCAATTCTAGCTACAGTTGCCTTGACCCCGCTCTCTGGATTAAAGTTTTTAGACAGGAGTATATGTCAGACAATGATTGCTGCACTAAAAACAATTCTCTGCTTTCATCAAGTAGCTTTTTGCTGGGCTGTATCTCAACTTCAAGATTGTTTTATTCTTCTTTAAATTACAAAGTGACTGGCCATCTCACTACTGTGTGTTTTTAATTTAAAGAAGCCAGTTGCCTCACAGTGCTGCTGTTTTTTCTCAGTCATTTTGTAGTTGTCGATCATCTGGGAGCAGTTTGCCTGTGAATGTTTTGAATTTTTATAAAGAATTGTCGCTTTGTGCGTACTTAGGTCGTGGCAAGTACTTTGCTCATTTAAGACACAGGGCTACAAGGACGGGTTAACATATAGTCAAATAAAGAGTGAAACAGAGGGCCGCAATTTAGCACTCCTAGTCTGTTCACGCCTGCCCTTTTAAATTTCATGATCGACACTTTAAAGAATTCAATGATCAAGCATGCATTTTTCATTTAGTTGGAGAATTCTTGGGTGACCTCTTTTTTAGAATTCAGAGTATACATTAATGTTGTTTTGAAAGTTTTCTATGCGAAAACATTATGTTCTGAAGATTTCATTTTTTCAAAGATGTGTTATAAACATTTTATAACTGAGATCAAAACATGAACTTGGAATGACTGAAAATCATCATGGGAGGTTTGTTAAGAATTGAACTGTATCCAAAACACGCAGAAGTTATTTTCGTTACTGCGGTGCACTTTCAAACATTTTTTTTGTAAAACTTATTTTCGAATGAGATAGTCAAATCCGTTGCACCATTTTCAATTCTCATCCACCCATCGTGCTTTGCGGTGGTCTAGCCGCACGCCCGGAGGCTGCATGCCTCCAGCCACGTGATTTGTAAATTTCTTAATAATAAATTCCATAAGCCTAAGGGAAAGGGGGGATATTTTTAGTAACAAAGCATCACCATAGCTACTTGTCAATATTCTGTTTATTCGTTAAATTTCCGAATTCAGTCGGAAGTCGGAACGTGATGTTGCTTGCAGAGAACTACAACATCCAAAGAACCGCCCTTTATTTCAAGTAATATGCGTGCTATCGTTGTATTTAGACCGCTATATACTTGTTAATGCCATTGCTTGAAAAATTATGCATCACAATTTCTTACAAAGTTTTGCAGCCCTGATTCGGGTGTAAGTCGAATATTTTGTACGGACTCGGTTGCCATGTTGTATGTTGACAATGCTTTCGATATATTTAATTGCGACGGTTTAAAGTAGATATTTTCTAAAATACAATCCACTCCACCAATAATTTTTATAGAAGGGAAATCTTCACCTGGAAGTGTTTTGTGGACTTGTTTTTAGCAGAGAATGTATACAATATTACACGACAAGGACTTTAGTTTTGCATGTTTGAACATAGGCAGAATTTCCGTTTCCTTACCCAGTTCTCGGCCTCATAATTCTGCCAAGTTTTTTCTTCTTTGACTGTTATTTCTATGCCTATTTTTAACTGTTATTTTCTTTATTTATGATTTAATATGCCAATCAGATATCGGCTTGTAATGTCATTACAAGTGCTAAAATTGCTTAAACCTTTCACTGCAAACCATCGTTTACATAAACGTGTTGCTCATGTAAGCCTGTCTTTAAGTAACAACTTTCCTTTGCAGTTTATTATAAAGACAATGAAAGATCTAGACTGGGATGTTAAGGTGGATGAATTTGAAAGTCAAACACCTTTAGGAGAACGCAAATTCACAAACGTCATAGCAACCCTGGACCCCAATGCAGATAGGCGCTTGGTTTTGGCATGTCACTACGACTCCAAACTAATGGAACCTGTCAATGGCAAATACTTCAAAGGTGCTACAGATTCTGCTGTTCCTTGTGCAATGATGCTGGATATAGCAAACACATTGCACCAAAAACTCAAGAAGAGATCCACAGTGAGTGCTAAATTTCCTATATTCAAAGTTCTACGCACAGTTAGATTTTATCTTCTTTTAAAATTTAAATTTGTTAATTATTCAGCCATCCTGTTTTTGTCGATGTCATAGAAATGCTTGTTCGCATAAAGGGGGATTTGATCGAACCGAGAGCTCTCTTGATATCCTAATGAATGTATAAGACAATATAAACCACGTGTTTATGGCGCTTAAGGGCCTGTTTTAAGTGTCTGTGAGTAGGAAGGTAACTGAAATCAAAGTCTTTATGACCGGAATCGATTGTATCAAGCTTTAGGTCAACATTGCCATTAATGTTGTTTTAGAAGTTGCTGCTCAGATTTGGATTAGAATTACGCTATGTTTAAGGGAATGGTGCAAGGTAGATTGATTTCTCCACTTGCTTAGTCTGTTTTTCCTGAAGCGAACAATGATTAAAACTCTCCAAAAGACATTTCTTGACATGACAGCATAAAAATGCTGCATTTTTCCATTGTGTGCAGACTTAAGAAGAATCCATTCACATTTTTTAAAGAAGAAAATCTGGAGAATAAATTTTGAAGTTTAGTTTTTTGCACCTGTCTCGAACATTTTTACAGAAATTTGGCTTAAAACTAAATCGTTAATCTTGTTTTGCTTGTTTTAGTCTTGTGTAATATTTTCCTTCATCATTACAGTGCTGTCTTGTTCAACCTTTTCTAAGTTCGAGATGCATCTGTTCTTGTGTTTTGTGATTTTTCTCAAGTGAAAAGACCACTGGGTGTCTTCTGTTTATTGTGATTTCCCGTCGATTATTTCGTTACGTCAAGATTCGTCAAGATGGGTTTGATTCGATACAGCGCGAAGCGATTGTTGTGAAATATCATCTGCTATGTGAAATGTCTTTAGAGGAATGAATGAATGAATGGCTTTCCTTTGTCTAATCCAGAAGTCTCATCTCGCTATTCTATATGAAATATCCAGGTTTTTTGCGATTTCACGTTCAGATTGATCAAGAACCCAGCTAGCTTAACCTACATGGCGCTTATACCGATTTAGAAGAGACTTTCGCTGATAAAAATTATTATTTGCTTGAATTTTGATTATTCTTGCTTGACAAATTTCTTGCATGAAACTTCAAATAAAAAAACGCCTAATGCACTTATTGTTAGCTTATCATGAGAGACCGTCTTCCTTTGAATTTTTTCATGAAGCCAGCTCGCTCTTGGCATTCAAGAGAAATAAGACCAAACACTTTGCTATTTGACTTGCTTAAAGGGACTATGTCCATACGACATTTATATTTTCATTGATTCGACTATGCAATAGACCTATTGTTACGTATCCGATCGGCAACGTAGGACTTATTCTCAATGGTTGTCTGACAGGACAAAGTGCCTTTAAGGTGAAATCACAAGAAAATAACACATTCCTGATGCTTCAATGATGATTTTCTGCTATCATTTTAAACATAACTTCCTAAATCAAACAAAACTCTTACAACGGTAGATTTTGAATTATTCCGTGGGACATAAGCATGCATGCATGTTGTGTTTGATTTTCTTCCAAGGCGTGTAGCCTGCCAATTACAGCACATCCTTGTCGTTTTTCTAGTTCCTAAGCCAAAAGTATTTCCTACCCCCACGCAATAATCGGATTTCAGGATGCACTTTACCAAATCTTCCGCCAAATCTGTCAGCTGGTTCACACTGTTGTTGGAAAAGTATATTCAAGTTCTCAAATGTTTTAGTTCTCACGCTGCGAATGACCCAAGATTCGCGGTTTCGTCTAAAATTGGGAGTTTTGATCAAAATTTAGCAACATCCCCATCTGTCAGTAAAGGGAGAGCTACCACTTGTAATCGAATTATCTTTTTCTGTTATAGTAATTATCATATTGCTGTCTAGAGTGCTCAGCTAATCGGAGCGATTAGATAGACTAAAATAAACTGACTATTGTGACCCAACTCTGAGTTACCTGATGATTCTTTACACATGGAATATATACATATATATATTTCAGTATATTTATTTTAGTTTTTGCATGAATATTTACAAGCTAAGAACAGAAAAATAAAATTCACGCTAAGATTTATTTTCTTTCCCATGAAATGCACATTCTCTCCCATGAAATGAAGCTTAAACTCAGTTTTTGATGAAAATTTGATATCATCATGGAGCTATCTTGCAAGTTTGCTTCATCTATTATATACCAGAACGATGATTTGCCTATCAACTAAGACTTTTTATAGAGAACATTATATAGGAATGGCTGAATGTTTTAAAGTTGCTGATTGTAAGTAGCGTCAGGAATTGGCGTAGCTAGATTTCAAGGAAGCTGGGTCGTTTCAAGGTAACATAGACTTCCAACAGTGTTTGGTAAGAGTCAAATATTGTTTAATAAAGTTTAATAAAATTTGAAAAATGTCAATTGTCAGTTTGTTTAAATTGTCATACAACTGAGAGTTTTTCAGAAAAGGTCTTATTGGCGGAGGTCTTAGCAACTAGCTAGGGACACTAAAGACTGGTTTTGTAACAAACAATCCACCCAAACATTGAATTGGAGTTTGGTTTACCAAAAGCTTGTTTTGTTGTTTTACAGGGCAGCAATGTAACTCTACAGCTGTTTTTCCTTGACGGCGAAGAAGCGTTTGTTGAATGGACGGATCAAGATTCTATATACGGAGCTAGGCATCTTGCAGATGTGCTTGCTCGGAAACCACACCATAACGAAAAATACAGATCTAATCACTCAATGCTTGATTCAATCGTAAGTTTAATTTGAAGCTTACTCTCTTATCACCCTGCGCTGATTTTGAGTATGAATATGTGTTTCTATGGAAACAATCGCAAATGTATTTGCAGATGGATTCTAAGAATTGATTAAATGCTTCAAATTGATTTTGAACTAAATAGTGGAGGTGCTTGAGAGGGGTAATTTGAAAAAGGGGTTGGTGACAACGAGGCTATAACTATTTTAGGGATTGTGTTTTCAAACGCATTTGGACTTATAATAAAATAATAAAAATAAACTTCTTTCTTACACATAGTTTTGGCCAATAATTTTAATGTGAGAAGCTGAAATCTTTGTGCATTAACTGTTTTGCATTTATGATTTGCTTGGATAAGAGATCTTATTTTGATATTGTTTTGATATTCTGACTTTTTGCCTGTTCGTATGAGCATACGTATCCAATTTTTCAGCCGATAAGGTAGCAGGCGAAATGAAGTCTACACATTTTTGCATGCAAATTTCATCTCATCCTCCAGCGGGACGTCATTTTTTTGTTATCGAATGTGAACTTGGCGCATATTTGAGAATTTCATCGCACTTCCAAGCCAGTATAGCGTTTATGTGAACATTCCTACTAACACATTCATACAAACAAAAGACTGGAATCACAAAGTTTTGTATAGAAAGGCTGTACCTCGCGTTCCAACCCATGGGCTTGGAGCTGTGATAATTCTACTCAAGTAAGAGATCCTTAAAATGCCCAACCAATGCTCTCCTGTCCACATATGCACTTTACCTCTCTTTGCAATTTTCTGAGATACCGATATCCCCAGCATCAATCCAGGGTGTCCCTATACGATTTCATTATATATCATATCTTCATTTTGAAAACTGTTTTAACTTCATCTTTTCAAGGATGTGTTTGTTTTACTGGATCTCATCGGTGCACCGAATCCCCAGTTCTTGGATTTGTTTGAGGACACTTCAAAGTGGTACAGAGAGTTGCAAGTAATTGGTGAGTCATTAACCTAAGCTAAGTCATCAATCTGTTTCAATTCACGGCTCTCTCTACCTTCACATTTTGAGTTCTGAACACTGGAAAGTGTATTGCAAAAAGTATGGTCATTCAAAAAAAATACGAGGTAGGGAACGTTGGATAGATGAACTGTTTTTTCCAAAGCGACTGTCAAATTCAAAGTAACGTTTTCCTTTTTCCGTAATCTCAACCTCGGGTGTCATTGTGCCAATGGAATCTTCCATCATTTTTGTTTACTAAAACATTTTGCTTTCACGAATAATTTTATTAGACTTGATACAGTGACTCGTTATTTGATAATTCCATTGCCTGATAAAAATAATCATTGATGAAACATTCATTTCATATGGATAGTGTGATGAATCAATATAATTATTGTCTTTTGTAGTTTGTTATTAGAATTATCAAATGTAAACTCGGCTAAAATTCATCTTTTGATATTCTTCAGAGCAAAAACTTGCTTCAACCAACCAGCTTGAGAAATACCTCTATCAAAATCCTTATTTCCCTGGAAAGCCAAGAATGCCCTTGTACATCGAAGACGATCATTTACCATTCTTAAGAAAAGGTGCGTATTTATCATATCTATTTTAGATCTTATACGATATTTAGGTATCTGCCTCCTAACAACATACCCGAAGAGTTGCACTCTCTAAGAATGAAAAATTGTCCATGTCTATCCTCGATCCTAACTTGTTTGTTTATCCTCATTATAGAACTTTTCGCGACCCATTTCAAATATTTATTGAAGGAAAAAGAAATGTCCAGAACACAGTTGCACCTCCTGTTTTTGTTGCAATTTTGAATGCCTTTTCAAGTTTGAAATGGCACAGCTCAATCATGCTTTTCGTTCACTGTTCCTAAGCTCATAAGCGGAATTCTTCGTTGCTCTGCAGACATATTTGACAACCAAAAAAACAAACAGGTCCTGACAAAAGCAAAATGAAATTCCTTCTCACTCTAGATTCGAATGATATCTGCTCCACTTAAGCTATTAATCAGCGGATCTAAATTTTTTTCATTTCTTGAATATTTATTGTAATATCATTTGAATGTTTTTAATCACTGACCCTTCTTCTTAATTGAATGAAAAACGCTGTGCTTCCAACCAATTGTCAAGCTTGCTTTTATTCATAGGTGTTCCGATTTTGCACATGATAAGTGTTCCATTCCCAACTGTATGGCACAAAATGACAGATGATGAAGCTGTTCTGGACCAAGCATCAATCGAAAATCTTCTCAAGATTCTTAGAATCTTCGTTGCACAGTACCTGCACTTAAAGTAAGAAAATGATATATGTTGTACCAGCAGAAACTTAAATTTGGAAGTATAGATAGTTATGTAGTTCTGTTGAAGTTCCCATCTACCGAAGAATGATTGAACTATTGCCTTGAAACTGTTACTAACTAAGTGTTGTTGAAACTAAGTGTTATTAGTTTTGATTTTCCCACCTAGCTCTTTTAAGGCTGTTATTATTTGCTTGTTAGCTGCAGTTTCGCAGTTTCCCAGACGTTATAATCCAGGGTTCTCGAAGCTTTCTACAGACGGATCAAAGTTTCTTGTACCTAAAATTACAGATAGTATGATATTATGGTCCTTTGACTCTCAGGACGAAATTTTTGTTAACATAGCTAAAATGTCCATACCAACATTTTGTATCTTAAACTGCTTTATTCCTTAACGGTGCTGCGTTTAAACTACCTGCCCATGTAGTGGTCAGTTACAGTTTGTGCATCGAATATACGAAGTCGTTGTGCAGAATTTAGTCTCAGCCTACTTACCTTTGGTTATGCTTGTCATGACTTTGCAAGGTAAAAATATTCGATGTCAGGTTGAGGTTCGACTCTGCGTTCTGGTTTCTGTACCTTGCCATCAGCCTTTTTTGATTCTGTGATAGATGGGAATTTTAGTGATATTTTATATATCGGGGTTCTGTCAATCGATATTCTCATTTTCAGAAAAATTATGGAAAATTTATGGTTTTGTTGTAAAGCAACCTCTATATTAACAAATTTATGCCATGGACGGTGTATTTTAATGTAGAAAAAACATTCATTGTGCCCCTATTACTATAAACTCTACGAGTAGTCTATCCGACAAAGTCTATTTTAAGAATATCTGATTTTCTAATACCTTTTCTGTTTTGCAACGCAGTATGTATGAAGACACTGCCGTCTATTTCTCCACAACATTCAATAAATAAAATTCAGCCACCCTGATACCTAATCAAGGTATGCTCACCGTGAACATGCCATTAATAAAGCTCCAAAAAGTGAGAGAGATTGGCTAGAAATAACAAAAAGCACCCAAAATTAGAATTCTTATCTAAAATTTTTAAGAGGCATTTAGACCTTTGGCGACATAGTGTTCAGATTATCTCATAGTACGACTCATTATGATCCCTTCAGCACCATATCGATATCTATGGCCACATAGAGCCTTTTTCAATTGATTAGAAATTCCCCTAACTCATTTCTTGCGTCTCTCTTACACCTTTAGTGCTTTCTTCTCAGATAAACTTTAAAGCCGAGCGTATTCAATGTGCTGTGTTGCATTTTAGTGTAGCTAATTTTAACTTTTCAGATGATTGGGGGTTTTTAGTATCAGAGTAAATTGAAGATAGTATCACAGATAAACCTGCGAAAATAATAGTATTAGTGTATTCAGGCTTTAAAATGTTGTTAAGCACAATGTATATTGACTATACGTTGCGAATTAGTTTATTTTAGAAATATCGGGGTTTATTTTTAAAGAAATATCGTATTTACTGGCTATATCCAGGATCACCGGATTATGTCAACATCAGTGAAAACCGAAAAAGATGAAGCAGTTGTTTTTTGGTCTCGATATTCTTTGATTCTAAAGGGTTACTTCATTCAAATTTAGTCTATGCAGATGATTCGTATCAAAAACTTAAACTATTTGACAGCATAAACTTGGAGAAGATTATGTTCCTAAACAATTTGGCAACATAAACTTGGAGAGGAGAATCTTTTTTTACACAGTTTAAAAAAGTAAATTTTACAAGAACAAGATTACAAAGACGATGCCAATGGGAGCATGATAGGTATGGCTAACCATTGACCTTAACAAAAAACAACACAGTAGCACCAAAGGCTATACCAAAATCCTGTTTAGATCGTGCGGATAGCTGGTTCTATCAAAAGACAAAGAGGCTACAACTTGAAAAGAAGATAAAGTTTGGACAAGACTTGAGTGTGGTCTTTAGAGCTGTTTCTACATTACTATACATTTAATGCTAAAGGATAAGTAGAGAAGATGAAATGCTAGATAAGTTAAAATATTGTGGTATTTTCTGGTGCTACAAGAAACGTTCTGATGTATGAATGAATTTTAGCGTTGATTCCAAAATTTTTCTATTTTCATTATGTGAAAATCTTTTGTCGCCATATAACATTTTATGCACAAGGGTTTGATTTGACAAGTTTGAAATGCTATTTAGTTGTAGTATTTCGTTGATCGCGCCAAGGAGATCACACCTTTGATCATCATATGCATGGCAATGCAGCAAGAAGTGTTCAGTATCCTCAATTCCGTCGTTAACTAGGCACATAGGATTGACTATCCCGAAAGTTATGACTGAGTTTGTGTGAATTTAGTTTACTGAGGCCTACGCGTAGCTGAGTGAGAATGGCAACACTTTTTGGATCATAAACTTCATAAAGAGGCTTCTGGGCAGGGCGGATAAGAGAAGATATTCTATTTTTAAATAAGCTGACTGTAGGCGATTCTCTGATCTCAGAGGCAAGGTAATTCCATGATTGTAAACAATTGTGGTAGAAGCTTGACTGAGAGCACTCTGTTCTTGCATTTATTCGCCCAACGACAGCATGATTTCTAAGTGCGTAAGTTGAAAAACGAGTTTGTGAAATATGATGTCTTGTATATTCCGGAGCAATTCTTTCCATTTGGCGGTGTAAGAGGATTTCATGGCTGAAGTCACACACTTTCTGCGGGATATGATAAATAACGTCACCATAGTCAAGGTAAGGCCTAACAGAGAGTTTATAAAGAAATTTAAACTCTTTCTTGGCAGGTAATCAGATAGGAACCGTAGCATACCAACCCCACGTCTCACTTTATTGATTGCAGATTGCAGATTTAACATGAGGGGAATCTTAAGACCATACGGCTCTAGTTCAGTCTGAAATTATAAGCTTTATCTTGAAACGCAAGTTTAATCTTGTGTCACAGTTTCTGTTTGGAATCAAAGCTCATCCTGGAACCATAAGTTCAGAATGGAAACAAAAGTTCAATCTGAAATCACAATTCAGTGTGGAATCACAAGTCCAATCTAGAACCTTGAATCCAATCTTGAACCATAAGTTCAATCTGGAATCACAACCCAGTCTTGAATCGCAAGTCCAATTTGGAATCAAAGCTCATCCTAGAACCATAAGTTCAGAATGGAAACAAAAGTTCAATCTGAAATCACAATTCAGTGTGGAATCACAAGTCCAATCTAGAACCTTGAATCCAATCTTGAACCATAAGTTCAATCTGGAATCACAACCCAGTCTTGAATCGCAAGTCCAATTTGGAATCAAAGCTCATCCTAGAACCATAAGTTCAGAATGGAAACAAAAGTTCAATCTGAAATCACAATTCAGTGTGGAATCACAAGTCCAATCTAGAACCTTGAATCCAATCTTGAACCATAAGTTCAATCTGGAATCACAACCCAGTCTTGAATCGCAAGTCCAATTTGGAATCAAAGCTCATCCTAGAACCATAAGTTCAGAATGGAAACAAAAGTTCAATCTGAAATCACAATTCAGTGTGGAATCACAAGTCCAATCTAGAATCTTACAAGGTGTTACTTTTTCAAAGACTTCTTGTGACCACAATCTTCTGAAAACAATTTCCTGTAAAAATCATTAGGAATTTTTTAGTCGAAGTATCTAAAGAAACATTATAAATCATGTTGTTTGAATCAGTTTAGCAGAAACAAGTGAAAACATTGAATTGATGAAGAAAAGTGCAGAGAAACAAGCTACACTTTTACGAAGAGAGGAAGCGATAAATGCTAACACATGTTCACTTCTATAATGTTGAAAGGAGGGGGCAACACTTCGAGAAATAAAGAGTTGGAGTAGAGAGTTTTTTCGAAGTGACAGTAGTTAATCCATTCTCCAGTTTGGGTTCTAATATTTCATAAAAAAAAACAATAGGGAAGATTGTGCATCATTTATTGAATGAGGAAAATGAAAATGTTTTTCCTAAACCAGAGGCATAGAGCTACAGACAGAACAGGGACCAGGGATGCACTAAAATACACCTTTATTTAACAGTTCTATACACTTCACGAAAAGTTAGGAAAGAATAAAAATGCCCAAAGGAAAATAACCTTATTACATTGAAAAAATCAAAACTATCTTTAGCATGATTTCCTATGACCAATGGTCACAGGGTCACGGGGAAAATAACGCCCTGGAACCTTAAGTACAATCTTGGATCACAATCCAGTCTTGAATCGCAAGTCCAATTTGGAATCATAAGCTTAACATGTGATAACAAGTCCAGTCTAGAATCAGAATTTATTCTGAAATAAAAAACTGGAATCACAAGTTTAATATGTTTCCACGGTTTTTTAACGTGCAGTTCTACACTAAATGTGCCGTTCTGAATTTTTTGTGTAGTTCTAGATATAAATACTTACAGTTCTAGAATTTTTACTTTAATGAAAAAAATCAAGTTAATTATTATAAAAAGACTTTCACTGATAAGAAGCAGAGAAAATAAACAAGAATTTCACTGATGAAACAAACAAAAGGTAGCAAAGATGCCGGTCAAATTTAGCAAACACTTTTGGCAAAATTAAAAGTATAGAAAGACATTTTTTTGATGGAAAGGAAATATTATGTTTAGAATACTTGCTACAAAGACAGTTTGTAATCTATATTTTTCCGGGTTGGGCAAGCCGTGCAAGAGTTTGGTTTCTTAAGATTTTATGTAACCCGGAACTCACAATGCTTCTTATATGTTAAAAAATTTGTTTTGCCAATATAATATACTTCTTAACGTTCTGTCAAAGTTGAGTAAGAATTCGCATTTTGTTTATACTTATAAGAACCAATAATTATTCCTTCAACACTGCACTTCCAAAAATAATGTTCAACTTTAAATTTTTCTTAAAAAACCCTGATGTAATAATATGAAATCATAAATCCTATTTAGAATCACAATTCCTTCTGTTATCAGAACCTCAATCTGAAAGCACAAACTCAATCTGAAAGCACAATTCAATCTGGAATCGCAAGTCCAATCTGGAATCAAAAGATTTGTAATCGCGAGCACAATCAGTCAACTGAATGAAGCTGTTAGAGAAGAGCTATAAAACCATTTCTTTTAGCAGGATTAAAAAGCATGCGCATGTGGAAGACTAACCATTAACCAAACTCGAATCCACGTAACCGACCACTAGGTGATGTGTCGTATTTTTCACACTTTATAATGATATCTTGGAACGATCATACACCGTTTATTTAATATTTTTTTATCTTTTGCTTGTATTTACGATTAGCCAGCATAAAAGCCCTTAAGTTCCACAATTTACTTTTAGTTGGACCAAGCAAAACTCAAAAATGGCGCATTTGCACTGATCAATGATAAAAGTAGTTGGTCAATCGTCAACTGAAAGATTCAAATATAATCGAAGCAAACATTATAATATTTTACGAATTAAAGGTGTTATACCAGAAGTAATATTAGTTAAAATCGGAAATCAGTTTTTGTGTGAAATTCATAAATAACAAGTAGATAGAATTTTCCCGATGTCAAAAAAGCACAACTTTTAACTGTTTTGGCAAGCTCGCCTACGTAATACTTCCGATGGAGATCGAAAAACAGATTTCCAATTTGGAAGACACAGTCAGTGGTTGTGACCAAAAGTACAGGGCAAAGTTTGCTACCGTAAAAGAGAAGGACCTCTTCAGATTTTACCGGTACAGGTGCACCTATTATCAAAACCTGGAACCAAGATTTTCTCAAGGTACACACATCCTTTAGGGACATTGAAAATTAACTGAGAAGGATAGATGAACAAACAATGAAGTATTGATGATAAAAGTGAAAATAAAGTGATTGAGTAAAAATAAGAAAGATGCTAAAGAGATTGCCATCCATTCAGTTCACCTCTTTCAACAAACTACGCCATATCATACATTATTTAGGTACCAGCGTGTGCATCACAGATAACTGTTAAACATATTGTTGCTGGTTTATCTGCGAAATCATAGGAGATGCTAAACCTGCTCCTAGATTAGACACCTCCGCTTTCTGCTATAAGGGCAGGTGGCATTGGGCTTGGCTGTTTCTTTAAGTCGTACAGACGAAGGAAATTCGAACCAAACAACAAGGCGTTTAAAAGTATCCTCTGTTTTTATCCATACAATGCACTCGAATGCAAATTTGAATGGAACTATACTTCAACAGCATCAGTAGCACTGTAATGGTACTCATTGTGATGTTTTATCCTTTTGCTACACCTGCCTTTTGTCAAGCAAAGAACCAAACCAAAAGATAATAAACCATTGGTTAGGATATCCTTTATCGAGTTACCAGGGTAGATAAACGGTTAAATGATTACAAACAGCCAATCTGGAAGCAAGATATCCAATATAGCACTAACAGAGGCAGGTTGATAAAAACTTAACTGGAGCTAGGGTTTACAAACAGCCAAAGAACCTCTAAAAGCTTTTTCCTTAATCAATCGCATTCTTTTAACTGTTATCACCATTGCATTGTTAATATCTTAAGGATAATGAGAAAAGAACAATCAAATAGAAAAAAACAGAATGAGGAAACCTGATGATGGCGACGTCACGGGAAAGTAAAATTAAAGGATTCAAGCAAATTCTCATAACAAGACTTACAATAATCGCAATTATAAAAATTATTTTGTTGTTGAAAAAAATACTCTAACCCTAAACAAAAGTAGTGTTTTCTAATAACCCTCGCCAAAGCTAACAGTAAATTTCTAACAGTAAGTTTCTAATAGTACAAAATAGATGAGAAGATTTGATGAGGCTTTTGGAAAATTTTATGGCCATATACCCCTAAAAAACCTTAATCAAAGAATAGTGAACACGTGAGATGAATGAGAAAATGGATGAGAAAACTTCTGATTACAACGCAAGGGTGAAAAGAGCGTACCCTTTGAAAAAATGAAGAAAAGAAATCTCCATCATCCTTAAAGAATAACAACACCGTGAAGGGCTTGTTATTAATGGTTTTCTTGAGAAATAGGCAATCACCTAAAGTGGTGTATGACCAAGCACCACGTTTATTTGCAATTTGATGTCAGTAACGTCATTTTTGCTTTGTAACGTCACATAAGCTCGCTGACAAGCATCGAATCCAGCTAAACCACAAGCAGATAATTGCACTTGGATTTAAAAATGTTTTTTACATCCACAATCAGATGACTGGCGTATCCATTCTTATCTTCATATGTCCTTCATGTAAAATATGATATTGTGGCAATGTATTCATCTTATAAACATTGAAATAGGAAATTACTTCTTGCATTACTTCTAGGATACCTCTGCAGAAACGTCGCGATAAACTAATTGTTTGGTCTTGATTCCAGCTTAATAGCACCGTTTAAAGCTACAAAATCACCGCCGTGATAGCAGAATGAATTTAACTTTCATAGCAACACCTTCAAAAACATATTGACTTCCTTTGGTTCATATAGTTTTTTTAGCCAATAGAAGAGTTTATCTTACAGTGTAAGAAAGCACTATTGGAAACTTCCAGGAACATACTTTGTGAGAAGGCAACCACTTTGCAAAGAAATGATGTAAGAAGTAGTAAAGCTAAGTTCCGAATTCTTATTTTGAGCATATTGCAAAGAATTTCTCACTTTTCATTTATGTTTGAATTGCATGTCAAAGAAACAGTTTTTGATTGCAAGCCGCCAAGTGTTTTGTTGTTTTTGTCATTGATGATTTTTGAGAGTTGGCTGAGGCAATTAGAAAAGCCAAATTGGTTGACAGCTCGGCTCGCATCTTAGACAATGCGCCAACTTGGAGTTTACGAGTAGCTCTGTGAAAGTTGATGGGCCACCTGTCCGTACCAAAAAGATTGGTTGTAACATAATATCTTTTGACATTTAAATGTTGACCATTCATCGTCTTGCCATACAAGTACCAATAAACATATAAACATGTTAACTTTATACCAGCAGTGTTGTCAATTGGTCGGAAAACTTGATTGCCTATAGTCTGAATCTCTCCTTAACTAGCATATGACAGCAGGTTTAATAAGGTTGGCTGTCAGTTACTTTTGGATCAAATCTTTGTTGTGATGATAGAATTTTGAAACCTATTTGTCATTAAGACTTAATCAATCAATACAGAATTTTCAGTACTTTCCTAATTATGGACGAAATCGTTCTGTCATGCCAGGATCGCGTTCAGTATGAAAATGTAAGTTGGTTTTGATGCTTGTATCTTTTAAATGCACTGCTGCTAGTCAAGTTCAAATCCTTACTTGATTTATTCACAAACGACTATCATACCATAACCAATCTTCTTTTATAAGAAATTTAGAAATACCTTGATCAGTTAGGGAGTAAATATTCGTCTTAAGCCTACTGTAATCCTGAGAAGCTTTGTTGAAAAGCTTCTTTTTGTTGCATATCTCTTTGCGACAATATATCATTGCATTTTAGTTTGCATACATGGAAAAATGCTTTATTTGTTTTGGCTAAAAACTCCGAGCTAAGATTGTCTTTTCTGGACTTGCATTGTTTAAAATTCTTCTCAAATAACATTTGATTAAGTTCTTTGCTGCCTCTCAAGACTCGGCTCTTGAGCCTTTGCTATTAAATTTAGTCATCTAGCGTCTGCTTATCATATAGATTGCATTTTTAAGCATTTAACATCTCAAAGAGAGTACAAATCATGTCTTCATAACAGACACTGGTCTTTGTGTTGTGGCATCAACTTCACAATAACACACGATCGATAGCATTCAATATTTCTACTCCACTGTTTTACGGACTCTTTTATGAATGTAATTTATGTAACCGTTTTTTATTAATTTACCTCCCTTTTCTTGTCTCAGGGCATTAAGGGGTTTGTCAAATCCTCTGAAAAATGCTTGTCAATAGGTAAATGTAGAATTTCATTAAATATAAAACAAATAACAGATAAGATCTGCAAGCAACAAACAAACAGCTTGAATCTATTTTCCTGCTTTTTGGTAGCTGAAATGATAACGACAATTGATTTTCTGGGAATTTTCAAAAATACCCACAAATAACTGTGCATATAGAGATACTAGATTTCACTCCAACGTGATGCCAGAAAAAGTTTTGCCAATCTAATACCTGTAATAATCCTAATTGCCCAGGGCCAAAGAAGTACAATCAGGGTGCATTCTTTGTTATCAAAGAAGAAATTCTATTTTCTTATTCTACTTTGAAGGCGTTGAGCATAAAAAGCAATATATATCTTTATAGGCTTTTGTTAAAGGCTAAAGCAACTTTGTATGTGTTTACTGTGGTCTTTCCATTTTGAGAAAAGAGTTTGCAGCCTTTGTATAGGTATGCTGTAAGCTCCATTCTGCATACCCCGACAACAACACATCAAGATTTCATTATTCTTGCTTACACTTTGCAATGCATTTGCAGAATCCAACAAAAGTCCTTAACCTTCCTCCGGTCAAAATTCTTCCTGCGTAGATAGGGCGTGGCTAGGGAGTAGCTAGCGCATAAGGGATGGCAGAAACTATAAATCGAGACAAAATTATGTGTCTGGGTCGATTGTAAAAATAACATACGTTAAAACTTTTCTAGAATTAAATTCAAAACACTACAGGTCAAGAGTAGTATTTGTTTTTAAACTTTAATCGACAAAATATAAATTGAAAAATTTCAATATCATGAAAAACGAACAGCATAATCTTTTCAGATGTGTTTTCTGATGGTAAAATGGCGTGGCCTAAATTTTTTTGTTTTGTCCCCCTCCCTCTCTCAAAGCTTAGAGTCACGCGCAACCAATCGACTCGGCAAAAGATTCAACGTGTATTTCAAAAGTGCAACAAAGAAACAAGTGCAAAACAAGTTGTCTCAAATGTTTTTTAAAATTCTTTTTTGCCAAAACCTTCCTCCAAATTTCTACTGTTTCTCAAACCTTCCTCCGGTCAATGACCGTGTGACTGTAAAATGTTATTTGGACTCCTATCTTGTCAGTTCTAGTTCTTGAATGATGATATTGAACTTGAGGGACCCTTACGTGTTCAGAGTGTATCTCGCAGCTTTCTAAACAGTAGTAATATTTTACTTTTCGTCGGAATGGAGGATTGTAGCAGATATTATCACCGCCATGTGGCCTAATTCCTCTACTTCTTTTGCTATGGTATCTAGTAAACTTTAGACAGATTTTATCTACTCATTCTCCATATCAATGTGCAAAACCTTTCCCAATATCACAAAAGCTTTAGCGTTGAATGGGTTCACCATAAGAGGTTTACAGCCTGTTTTCAATGAAAAAATCTTTGAGAAATACAAGTAGTTTCATTTAGTAACTTTGACATGATCTCTCCCCCAATTTCCGTATTTACCATACAATAAGAGTTAAAAAATGTTACTGACAGATTTAAATCGTAAAACAGACGAAAGTGTATGTTTTTGATTTAAAGAAACTCGAAGACGCAGTAATTCTTCCCTCCATAACAATCAACCGGTTGACAATAATGCGATTTGCAAGAACGCTTTGAATTCATAATTATCAAGGAATTATTTCGTGTTAATAAACAATGGCTTTAAGAAGAAGTGAAGTCTTTTATCAGAGTGTTTTAGGTTATTGAAATGAAAGCTTAAATGAAAGGTGCTGTCAGATAATGCACAAAAATCTGGATCACTAAATCATCGCGCCGTCTCATCATGAATTTGTTTTTAGTCGATTTTGACATAAGCCAGCTTTAATAATTAACACCTGCCCAAGATGAAGTCTTGAGCCTCACTAAAGCAGTTCACATTCTTGCCAAGAATTACGAGTTACAAAAGCTGAACAATTAAAACTTTTCCGCAAAATGTACAGCAGAGCATTTTAATACAGTCTTCAATTAAGCGACATAAAGCATTTTACTAACAGCGCGGGCTATTACCAGTGTTATAAAAAAGTGATTGCCTTTTAATCTGCGTTTAGTTCAGTATGTTGTAACTTTATAATACAGAACCTTTTTAACAAATCAACTAGGGGGTAATCACCCACTATCTGAAAATTACATTTCTTTGTTTGAGATAAAACACTATTGTGTAAGATGATGATTGAAGTCAAAATTTTAATGATAATCTTTGTGATTCATTTCGATCAATAACAATATAACTCTTGATGTTTATCGTCAATCATAGTCATTTGAATCTCTCAAATCCATGTGTAACATCATCATCATGAGTTTTGTATAGCTCTGTAAGAACAAAGAATCGAATCCCCAGATTAGATCTCCTGAAAATGCTATGCCGTAACATCATAAAACAACCGATATTTCTTTCTTTTCCTAAACGACTTATTCGGATTGACACTTACTGATGGATTTGAGCGATTCCAACGATTTCGATTGATAATAATCATTGGAGTGATCTGTTGATCGACAAGTATCATAAAGAGTATCATTAAGAAATTGATTTTAATCATCATCTCAATTTTTATCACTTATGCAATGAAAGACGTTTTTGTTACTGTTTTGTAGTTGACGATGCTGTTTTTGTTGTCTTTTATGATGGCAGAGTGCTGTTTTTGATGGGAGAGTGCAAGTGGGTGGGTCAATGAATCGTGTTTGAAAATTATTTGATGCATTCTAACGTGTCCTACCCCTTCCCTTAAAAAGGCAGCGATGTTTACCTTATAACTGGTAATTTAAGACACATATTTAGAACGCTGATCTAGGTTCGAGAGTGTAGATAGCGTTTCCAACAATTGACGACTTGATTGGCTCTTCTGGGCCATAACGTTCATCAGTGTAAAGACTGTCATCAACAGGCCCTGGCAATTGTTAGCATTTTCAAAAGTAGTAGATAAGCTATCTCACCTATCTATTCCTTCTCCCTAACTGCGCCACATCAAATTTTGCGCTAATTTTGTTTGCTTGCCAATGTAAGAACATTTGCTTGACCGACATGGCAACCAGTTGTGCAATGTGCATTGGAACATAGCAACGATAGCAGCATTGTGAATGTAAAAAGTCTTGTTGCTGTTAAAGATCTTCATCAATTGTCTAATTTTATCAAACTTTTTGGATCACCATCCCTTTTATCACAGATTGTGTCTTAATGTAGAATAAGCAATTTTTATCAGATGCTAAAGAGATTACGGAGGTTCTGACGTGTGTCCCACCCCTTTCGATACAAGTGGCTCCCCCGGAAATATGCTGAATATCAAATCAATGCATTTGGTTTCTTGTGAGGCTAGACGGGGTTATGGTTTGTTCTTTGGTCAGTAGCACGCCTCATTATGTCAATGCTTTTGAAAACGTTGACTTCAGAACTGTCTGCTGTAAGTATAGAGCAGGATGGATCGACAGCAGCCATGTACGTGCATGGACATTCAGATTGTAAGCTGGCTTCTCTTGAATGATTTATCTTATAACAGTTTTTTTGTTGCTATACACCCTTTGATGGCATTAGGCCACAGAAGATTTCTTAAGTTTACAAATGCATTGTCTGCTTTGAATAAAGATACTGAATGGTACTGAATTGCTGCATAATCTGCGTTTGTCTGCATTTGTGACACCACAAACCTATGGACCTGCAGTGCTTAATCAGTGAAACTGTTTGATTGTAACATGAAACATGGCGTTAAAATATACAAAAGGGGTGCAGCAATCCTACACAAATTTGACCCAGTTTGCATGTGAGCTTCTCTCTATTTATAAAACAAACTAATATTAGGCTAACTGGAAATTTTATGAGCATTTGTTCGTAGCATTTTTATTTACTTCTGGACAAAAAACTTACAAATCTCAACGTATAATAAGAATATTTTTGCGTTCAAAAGATTTAACAACTTGTGCATTAGAGACACAAATTCTGTACTTTGAACTTTTCTTAAAAATATTCCTATCAAACCTGTTTATAATTGTGTTGATTTTGGTCAATTTCAACATAACACAATATAATCTCTTCGATTGTTGCTTTTTTCATGTTAATGAAACATAATGGATCACTGTGACCAAAAGGTTGAGTAAAAATCCCTTTGTAGCAAATGATTTGCATTGCTTTCCAATTGTTCGATCTTTTAACATCTTCGTCTAATAAGGAAGTCATCTTTTTAATAAGTATATGACTTTTAAACTTTCCTTCAAGCTTATCTTGTGTTTGGTGAACTCGCCTCGGTCTTTTCTAAAGGCCATTTCACTTCAATATACTTTCCTTTAAAGCAGTATTAGCTACGGGTCTACAGAAGTAGAAAGTGTAGACGAGCTTTGCCTTACGGCACTCTTTCTTTACATGCCTTAGTTAACATGGAACATTAAGGGTATAAAGATTGCAGATGGATAAACGATTGGCAGTTAGCATGTTCTAATTGTGAGAAGATCATGTCAACGTAGGTTTGCTTGGACTTTCTCTAACCGTGACTTTAGGTGGTACCTTATGGACGGCCAAGACTTCAAATCGTTGCTACTAAATTGCGATCCGCAATCAAAGCAAAATGCTGTATGCTATTATAAAAAATCAAAGAGTAAATACCGTTTACTTTCAATATCATAAAATACTGAGCAAGATTTTAATGTTTATTCAGTCTGTCCGTGACGTTTTGATACAGTGCAGTACTACCCAAAACAACGTTGAGGCTGACAACAAGGTTATTGCTATCAAGAAAATTAGTTATTGGCATGAATCATTAGAGAATATCAAATGCATAGTGGCCTGTACATAAATTTGAACTTGTTCTGTTTTCTCTTCACGTGCCCTAAAACTGACTCTTTTAAGGACTTTTTGTTTGCTGCAAAGAAGGTGTGCCGGTTCACAATCTCAATTAGTTAAAAAAGAGAGAATATTAAAGAGCAGAGAAAATACAGCTACTTGTCTGTTACTATTTGCTAAGAAGTTGGAAGATTTAACATTCCATAATGAGCAGCTAGAGGTCAGCAATCGTAGAAGCAGCATTCAAGCACCCCACTTAAGACAATGTAATGCGAATTTTATAAGGGTGCGTCTGAAAATACCGAATTGCAAAGTACAAATGAGCCGTCTTCTTATGCATGCATAGTTATTGGGACAACTAAAACAGGCGAGGTTAAAGGCAAATAGTTAATGGCAAGAGCAACAGTTGTTTAGCCCGGGCGGAAAATGGCAAAAAAAGTTCAACATCAGATAAAACTGTTCTTCAAGCAGCGATTGATACCGGCCGGGTGTAGTTGAACGCTGCCTTTTTTACTAAAGTTGGGTATGTATTTGAAAGCTTAAGAAACAATGGCAAGCAACGCAAAATGTACCTTTTATTTTATGGAACCACGATGTTGTCAGCTCCTTGGTAAAGAGATTTTTGATAAAAAGTATGTTATGAAAAACAACTATATGTTTTTTAAACTTATTAAAATTGCTAAAGTATTGTTCGACATTGACTAAAAAAGCTGGCAAAGCATGAAAATTAGTTTAAAGTTTCAATGCTAAACCTTAAAACCAAGCATGCACACTAAGATTTGTTTTTGCAGCCTCAGTTCTTAACTCGTATTCTGTACCAAACGGCGTCTTTCTATTTTTTGTCATGAAGGACTTTTATATGGATAACAAAATAAAAGGAACAGTATTCATGCAATGCACTTGTGAAAGATTGAATGAAAATTACTGTTTACAGGTCTGTCATGGAGTGCTTGATACCGTATAAGCAGAGCTGTAAACGTTTCGGTGTAAAAACAAGATGGTTCTCAGTTGCTACTCCGAGTTTCAGGGTTAATGTGTATAGTAACAGGACTATAGAAAGTGGCTGGATGTAGACGGCTCAGGATATTGGAAAAGTAGCATTTAAGCTTAGAGACATGTTACCGTATGCTGCATTCGCCGTCATATTCGAGTGATCCTTACCATTGATTATATTTGTATCATAACTACCTTTTCAAACTTTCTCTTACATACAAACAAAATAGCTTTCATTTCTTCAAAGACAGCTTAAACTTTACTAAAGAAACCTAATTTTTCAAGATCAAAATTCAAACAAATTTGATTATCACTATCATTTCAAATGAAGCCATTTTGAATCAAAGCTATTGTTTTTGCATAAAAGATGCACCTATTGCCTTTAATCAGTTTAAAGAACTTCGAAAAGAAAAAAGAGTATAAACAATTAAGATCATTAAATCTGTTAATTAAGATCAATTAAGATCTGTTAGCCAGCATTAAACGAGGACTGAGTTGTACGGTTGATGTGAAGATGTATACAATCTTTTTCTAAGAAGATCCTCTTTAATTTTTTATTTGCATAATGACCAAAAGAATTTAGAATACAAGCAACTATAATATAATATGATCGAGAGTATCTTTAATATGTTGAGTCTTTTATATTCTATCCAAACCCTTAGGTCCTATTAGAGTCTTATTTAAGTCTTAAGGCCTTTAGTCTTGATAAAAATTTCCTTGTACAGTTTACTTACATTGATCGTTATTATAGCTTTATATTGTACCGCACGCAATATAGTATATTTATGGAACCTTAAGTCGTATTGGTCATCTAGATTAGACAGTTAACAAAGAAGAACGCAAAAATTAAACTTTTAAAAAGACATCAATATTTTTAGCCGCTTTTGATAAAGTATCTTAACTTCTCTTCCATTTTGAGGCTTATACTTTCCCTCTCAAATATGAGTTTCTTTCATTTTTCAACACGAGCCACAAAATGAGTAATGTTTTTTATCAAGCTAAGACAGATTTAATGTCCCCAAAATTTGCTTCTAGAAATACGCCAATGGTCTTTTATTACAAATCATCCTTCCTCGTTGAGTTTTGTCTTGGCTTTACTCTAAATACAAATCTTTCATTCTAAACTGCCAAGAACAAGCATTAGCTAAAATACGTGGACAAAATTCTGGAAAGGATTTCAATGGTCAAATAAATCAATCAACTATTTAAACTCACGCAAAAAGTGGACTTTGGGACTATGATCAAAACCTGAAAACCTTTCTAACATAGTTTCTTTTAAACATTTCTGTTTTAAATAAGCAAAATCCTTACATCTTGGTGACAATATATCTTGGCAATCGCTTGAGAATAACATGACTCTTTTTAAAATACTTTAAATTGCTACAATTCACCTGAAGAATCTTGTTTCAAGCTATAGATAGATATTGCAATATCGTTTCTAAAGCATAACGCTTCTAGAGTTTGTTCGTATTATTTAGTGACGTTTAATTCATACCCTATAATTTCGCATATAGGCGCCGCTCGTACATAGGCGCCGGCGCCTGTATCCGGTCTGGTTTTTTGAATATCATATTTCTTACCGTATATTGTCAGAGAAATAACATAAAGCGATTTTCATATAGAAGATTCAATTATTTTCACTTAGTCTTTTATATATATCTATAATAATTGGTTCTACTTTTGATAGAATATGTTCTGACACCTTGACAGTCACTAAACAATGGACCTCCAGCCCCTTTCCTCTTTTGTTCTCTCGTTTTCCTGTCACGCAAACTTTCATGGAGCCACCGGACAACAAAATGAGGGTGCAAGTTTTAGAAAATAGTCGCGGAATGTGTCCTACAATTTCACCATCTTTCATAACTTTCACGGCATATTGATCGTGTTGATTATCAGGCTCTCTTTTACAAATCAGCTCCTCTTGAATACGTGGAGTCCATATATCTTTATATACGTGATGTCCAGTGATAAAACAGTTAAACTCAAATACACAGGGACGACATTTAACTGCTCTCACCTTTGCAGAATCATGTAAAACGCAATATTTACCACAAACGCCAAACTCTAAATATAAACTTGCAAATTTGACCCATATCATCTGAAAAAAATTATACGAATGCAATCATAACATTCGAAGGCTCTGGCTTTGATGAGGAACACGACGAGGACATTATCGTAGAATTATAGCATTGTGTTTGTAATCTTCAAAATTTCTACAGTTAAGATGTTTCTTAGTATAAGCTGTGATGCAAAATGATTTTTTTGCGATTTAAAGTGATTTTGTTGCCAAAAAATTGTAGGCGCCTGGCGCCTATACGCGGCCCTATTTTCTAGACTTGAAAACCCAGAAATTTTAAATATCCGGATATAGGCGCCAGCGCCTTTATGCGAGACTATAGAGTAGATCCTGAAAGAGTTAAAAATTGTGATATGCAGGCTAATGAAATCCATTGAGACGTCAAGTTTTTGGGACGTCTTCATAAGGGTATATTTAGGGCTGTGAATGAAAGACGTCTTAAAGATACGAGTCAAAACTTTTTTGCAACGTTGTATGGTTCAAAGTTTTGTCACAAAGATTTGTCGATGTCTTTTTTGGGATCTACAAAGGAATAGTAAACTTTACCTTTATCCGCTTGAAGACGCTGTTGGGATATAACCTAGCTTTAATTTTGATTTAAAAGCTCAGGGAGGGAAGCTTAGCATTTGGTATCTGCGAAAAACAATGACATAATTGATGCTTTAAGGCTAAAGAAGTTGAAATAAAACTTTATGTAATAAAATGAATTTTAAACCATAGAGATCAGATTCAAATTGGTGCAGTGGCTCGAATGAAGTTGGACACAGAGGTAGTGGGTCACACAGTCGTTCTTCAGAAACTCAGATAAACTCAACGGATATTACTGTTGGATTTTCAGAGGGAGCTAACATAAAAGTAGAAGGTGTGTGTTCTTACTCACAACTAGTGACAACCTTTCTATATGGTTTTCTTTGTAAACCCTTTCCCCCTTCAAGGGAGAAAGATTCCCGATTTAGAATCGCCAGCTATTACTGTTCCCATTTTCCTTTTAAAACCATTTAGTCAGGACCAATTAAGCACAATGGCATCACCTCAGATAGTAGGATGAAAATTATTAAGCTTGCTAGTTCACTTAATATTCCAGAGGTGTTTTGAAGTAAGTGAATTATCATATTTTGTGGCCTTGGCAGAAAGAAGCTAACACAGCCTGCTTGTCAACGTGCTGCATATATAGTGATAGAATTACTAACTATATTTATGAAACTAATGAGAGAACATCATTGATTAAATATTTCTAAAAATCGCAGAAGAGAACACAAGTGAAGAAGGCACTCGTTACGAAGAAGACACCAGAGAGAAATCAAAGGAGCGGAAACGTGGAACTTTTCCAAAAATTGCCACGAATATCTTGAAATCATGGCTTTTTCAGCATTTATCGGTAAGAAAAACAGAATTGTCATTAGAAACCTCATTTTTTTCTTTTTCAACCATGCCTATGTCAAGACTTTTATGAAGCCAAGAGGGTAGTGTAATCACGTACTGATTTGAAGACATCATTACTTTTCACAACTATTTTCAATCCTGTGCTGCAAGCCATGAACATCATACCGGTTGAAAACTAGAGAAAAGTGAAAAATTTCTCAATTTTTACCGATTTCTTCCCCAGTTTCTTTTCCTGGCTAAATTTTACCCCAACTAATAATTACCCCTATAACCCTAAAACCCATAACAAAAAACAAGCTTGATATTCCTTGTCTTAAAAGGCAGTATCTCATTTTTGTTAATGGCCATGGGTAGGAAAAAGTTTTGATTCTGTTGAAAAGATTTCTTAGAGATTTGAAAACAAAAACGAGAAACTTGTCATCAGGGGATAGAATAGAACATTTTGTTCTTTCCAACATAAGAAAAAGCTTTCCATGAAAGAACAACCTTCTCGGGCTTGTAGATCTGAAATAGCAATCACAACATGTAGTACTGATATTGAACAGCAATTGCTAGAAAACCAAGATTGTGCCAAAAACTATAATAGCCAACCATTCTTGGGTTTTACTGTCTGTTAGACGAACAGCTCTATCAACAAATTATTTAGAAATAAGACCGAATATGGACTAATTATGACTTTGATTATAAAAATCTTACCAGACTGTAATACAATTTTATTTTACAGTCTAATTAGCATAATACAGATGTTATACAGATCGACTCGTTATACAATCTCATTAAGTGCCAAGAATGCCTTAAATAATTCTTTAATAGACAAGCAGGCAATGAAATGTACCGCGTAAACTTGTTGTTGGTATTTAAACAGGTGCAAGAAACGTTACTCGGTAGCTAAGAGCAATATATCTACTTCTGAATGAAAATGTTTTTACTAGCATGTTCAGAAAGATAGCCCCTGGGGGTGGGGTGGTAAAGGCAGGGACGGCAGAACGGCGAAGCTGTAAAGAGGCAGACTTCGGTATCAGGGCTTTTAAAAACAATTCCCAGCATCCACTAATTTTTACTGTCTTACATTTTATTTCAATTTTCTGTAGGCATATTAAAATTGGCTAACTGCTGTCAAAGGAAAGTTCTGACCTGTACTTCATCGTGAACAAGGCACTTAAATCAGGATTTCGGATCAATCTCTTTAAAAATTTCAAAAGGCTAATATCAACGGTACTGTTATGAAAACACACTTTAGCTCTCATCTCCCTCCCAGTCACCACACCCTCTCTGGCGTCCTTGGGTGCAGGAAGTGTGACATCAGCCGGTCAGTAAAACGTCAGTCGGTCTATATAAACCTTAATATTTCGGTAAAACGGTCTATCAGGTGATCTTATGGCACCAATCTTTTTCTTCACATGGTGGGTTCCGGACATTGCATTTAATTTTCTTGTTTTTATCGACTTTACTTGGTGTTCGTATGACCGTACTTGGTGTCTATCGTATGACCGCCATGTTGCTGTGTGGTGGATTCTGCCTTCTCATATAGCATTTATCAGGCCCGTTTTTGGGACACGCAGATTACGCTGTCATAACTTCCCGACATAACATTTATTGTGCACAAGGCAGCATGCACTTTGAACCAACATTTGATATGGAGGTCGGTATATAATTCAAAGTCTTTTTGTCTAGTGAAAACAGTGACAGATGATTCTGATTTCATCAATGCTTTCAATTTCATCAAAAACTGTTGCCATATAGTTTCTTATATTCAAACGTACTTTAATGTTTCATCAAACCTTTTGGTGGCTCTTTAATCCATCGTATAAGTGATATTGAACCTTTTTTCAATCAAAGACTCTTTTTACTGTGTTCCTTTTCAAATTCAAAACTAGAAATGATCTCCTTTGCTTCCTTTGGTATAAGGCCTCCTGGCCCTGTACAATTTGCGCAATTCTGCCTTCAATAGCTCTGGCAGTCTAGAGTGTCCTAGGAATAACCAGTACAGCACGTGTGAGCACAAATATTAGAAAATCCTTTACCCTTCAAGCTCAGTATATTTGAGAGCAAAATTGGCAATTCAATTTGAAAGTGAGCAGCTTCATTTTAAAGCCAACGCCGTAGATCCCCTTTCCTTTTCTTCGTTTGGAAAATGGTAGGGTTCAATTGCGTAGGCCACATTTTTTATAATAGCTTACTAAAGCCTTGGTGATAAATCCAAAGAAAGATGGTGTAAACCATACACCCTTTACCACTCATCCAACTCTAATAATCATAGAAATTTATCTTATACACATTTTTCTAGATGTATAGAATAAATTCTACTTGGACCTGGAAACATATTTTCTGATTTGACCCTCCCTACTCGTTGGCATTCAGAGGCCTTTGCCTTTGTAAATGATACAAGTTTACTGACACCTGTGTCGCATTTCTGATTATACAGGAGAAAAATTAAAGATGCTTCACTTATATCTAGCTACAAACTCCAGTATTTACACCTCTCCTTTGATAGATAAACCTACTGGTGATCTTCTAACTCGTGCGGCTAATGCCTATTTGTCTCTAAAATCATTTTTGAGAGCAGAGTGAACTCATTAGACATTCCAAAATGTTTGATCTTATTTGTCACCAAGATCTTCTTTCTCACTCCTTATGTATGGTCTCTACCACTTCCACGTCTATTGATCAGCATGGTTCATTAGCATTCTCCTTAATTGGTTCATTAGCATTAGAGTTTATGGTTACAGCTTCATTCCGCCCTCAATTAATGCCGACTTTTCAACAGAATTCTATCAACTGCCCTGTCTTACTGATTTTCCTTATTGATCCATTTTTCCACCTTCATTCTTTCGCTGACGACACTTATCTGTACTCATCATTTTTCTTTTGATTCACGACACCATTCTGATATGAACACTCCCCGTCAACAAAATATTTTCGCCTCACTTTTTATTTATAATCTGACAATAATTGGAAAATGGAGAAGGCAATCTTGTTAGTTTCAATCAAAGTTAAACCACTTATTTCATCTTTTCTTGTAGGGTCAACCCTGATTCACTTCTCAGCTTTAATGAATGGTTCTGACTGGACTTCTCTAATTCTTTTTCAAAATTTGGATTTGTTTTTTCATCTAATCTTAACTGAAAATTCTTCATATTCTATTGGAAAGAGACTCTTCACAAAAAAGGTAGCTTACAGAACCCTTAAAAACCCCTTTTCTTTAGTTATGACTGTCAAAGCCTGTCCCATTGTTCCTTCAAAAACTGCAAATTCAAAATCTAAAACGCTATAATTCAGCTTATCATAATTATAAATCTAGAAATACATCGCAAAATTTGAATATTTAATTTTTTTTTGTCTTTAATAATCGAGATTTTTGATAGAATTTTCAACTTGATTCACATTAAGAAAATTGCAAATTTTTGATGTTAATATTTGCTAGGAGTATTATGGAAGAAAGTAAATTAAACCGAACATGAAAAGATGTAAAGTGAAAAACAAAAAACAAGTGTGCTTTCATAATGCTGCATAACTTTCAATAATTCGTAATACTGCAATTTTCACACCGTTTCTAAGACCCGATCTGTCTTTAAATGAGTGAATGTAGAAATATTTTGAAGGTTAATCTGTTAATTTTAATTTTAATTGAACTTTTTGAAACCAAAGCTCTAAAAAATTTTAATTGACTTTGATAAAAACAGTTTTACGTTTATCTTCTAAATGAAACATTGCAAAAATGCAGAAGTACGAAAACTAAAAAAAAAAGGAAATCAAAAGATAAAGTTGCAGATAATTCCTGACTGTCTTTTGCTGTCCAGAATCTTGCAAATGTCGTGAAATTTATTTTTGTGGAGATGAGTATTGTGAACGAAAGAATGTGCTTTATGACAGTTCTGAAACACCCCAAAAGCTCTACTCAATCTGCAACCTGGAACACTGGTACGTAAATAATGGGATATTAAAGAACATTTAGAAAACATTGAAAAATAAAAAAAAGTGGTGGGTCTTTTTTTATAAGGAAATCGTGAACTCAATACATCACTTCAAAGGAAAATACATACTGCAACTTCTCTCAATCGCACTTTAATCTGGACCTGCAAAAATGACTGTATTTGACTGCTACCATATTGTAGTGCGTCTAAAGCCAACGGCTAGCTTTGAGGGAATGCTGGTCTGTTAATTTATCTGTTACCCAAGGATGGTATTTTTGTCCGATATGCCGTTAATCTGGATTCGCTCACCTCCAGAGGCTGACGCTCCACAGCCTTTTGGTATCCACAGATTCTTTTTTCTTCTGCAGCATTCATTTTCTTTTTGGCACACATCCTTTTACCAGTTAATCAATTCAAAGTCAGCAGCAAAAGTAAGCAGTAGAGTCTCATAGTAAGGGAATATGTAACATTGCATAAAATTTAATAGAATGTAGGATATCGTGAATTCTTTTATCGTTGGCGGAAATTTGTAAACAACTCGATCCAAAGTAAGTTCTTCAAAATGCATAAATGTAGGTGAAAGATCATGCTTACCTGTCAGAAATTATTTTTACTTTTAGCACCCGTACCCTTCTGAAGAGCAGAAGAGAATGCTAACAAGTCAAACTGGATTGACCTTTCTACAAGTCAATAACTGGTGTGCAGAAGCTTTCTTGATTTCTTTTATTCAATACAGATTTTTATATTTAATAGTCCTGGCTGGCTTTGCAAAAAATTAAGAAATAGTTGAATTAGCTCTACAACAACTACAATCAGGGAGCATCAATTTGTTTAGATGAGAAATTATTATTTGGTTTTGAAGTTTAAGCACTACTATTTATGCTTTGATAGGAAATGTCACCTTAAAAGTATTTGCATCTTAGGTTTATCAACGCAAGAAGACGAATCGTGCAACCTATGATTGAGAAGTCAGCACGTCTTGGAAAGCCAGCCATTGCTGGTACGTTTAAAACAAGAAAACGGAAGGCTGATGAGATTGGCCCACATTACCCTAATGTTAGCCATTACCCAATCATATATCAACAAGATCAGCATTTCCCGAATGTTCATACCGGCTACTATCAAGAAGATACTGCTAGTCAAAGCTACTACAATCCGCGCCCATACTTTCCTTACATGGAACCTTCTACAGGCTCTTCAACACAGAGCAGCAGTCTTTCTCGTTGCCAGGTTTTACCGTTCTCCCATCGTACTCATAGCGTGTCACCTTCCTTCCACACGACAAATTACCATGGAGGTATTCTGACACCGCCTGCAGGCAACTTCGCTCACCATACATATCATATTGCGCATCAATCTGTTCTACCACACTCGAGTCAGCCCGGAATACCGACACACCCACCAATGTCCGACCCGATTTTTGATCCTCATTACTAGAACAACTTAACCTTTGTGAATTCTAATTTTCATTTAGTAATAATACTGCATGTTTCCAACAGAAAAACAATTTTATCACTTTCACTGTTGATGTAACATTTTAAGCTAAAGTGAAGGACAGCATCGAAAAATGACAGTCCAAATCTTGTTATTCTAGCTTTTGTGGAAAATTATCGAATCATGTAAAGTTTTACAACAGAATTTGATTTTCATACGAATTAAGGAAATTCAGATTATCTGGCAGCTTAATTTTCTTGTTGTGATTTTAATTATACACTGGGTAAATATTAAAATGCGATAATTTACATCTCTTTTCTGAATTTTAAAATTTTAGCATCTAGTAAGAACTATATTTTTCAGTCAAATTAACAAATGTGGTCAAATATGGACTGAATAGTAAATAGCCGATAAAGCAAGTCAATAAAGTAATACAATTACTTATTGCATTTCATATTCAAATCGCCAATATTTATGACAATATTTCTGCAAAATTAGCAAAGGCTACACAAAAGTATTTTAAAAATGCATTTCTTGCTAGGTGTTACAATTACATGATACTTCTCTATGTTAAAGATCAATGTATGGAAAATATTCCGAGCATAATATTTAGTTTAAATGGATGAAATTCAAGTTACTGCAAATATTTTGTAATTTTGTCGATTATTGAATTGTAGACGGAAAAAAATCGAAGTCATTTGACGTAACATGTCATTATATTAAAAAAGACTTCATCTTATCAAATAGCCATTGACAATACGTTCGATATTTCTCAAAATGTAAACTTAATTTTATTATATCATTTTTAATTTCCAGTCCATCAGTTATAGCAGGACATTAGCCTAGAAGCTCTTTTATTCATGTAGAGGGCATTTTGAAATTTTGTGGCATACTGCTACTTCATTTTAAAAACAAATTTGCCTAAAACCTGTTTTCAGGATTTATTTTTAGATATTTTAGCTGGTTGAAGTGAACGTTTTAGCTCTTAGATTATAGTTTTTTTTAAATCAAAGTTCAAAACTTGATTATGTTGCCTAAGATATGTAAAACTTAAGTATGAATTTGTCAGCATCAAATGCTTTTAGTATCAATTAATAATCGTTTATTTTCTTCTTGATATTTCTTATCTTGGTCCTAGATTCATCTAATGAAACATTAGGAGCTTGTTGCCTTTGAATTCAGTCATGATATTGACAAATCGATATTGTAACAAATTGGATTGCACTACACATTTTATGTTTGAGCCTAGATCATTCGTAGAACCTTACTTTAAGTTCATGTAAAAAGCACCTATGTTATTCTTCACACAAATGGAGCCCAAAATATAATTGAATGCTCGGTGGAAGGCACACATAGGAATATACTGTAATTGCATGAACCATTCAAGCATTTCGAACTATTTAACTAAACTTTCTAGAGGCATTTGTTATTTTGATACAAATATTCAACACGACCCTAACTTGTTGTTCTCGGAACAACTGGTCCTAATTAGAGGGTTCTAAATTAATGTCTTCATCATTCACTTGAATAATTGTAACATAATTACGTAAACTTCAGCAATCAGCAATAATCTTTAAATTACTTGATATTCAAGCTGGAAAGAAAGAACAGTGAAAAACAGTCACCCACATTATCATGATTTCTATCTCTTTTTGTACATGCTTTTATAAATATTCATTGATAAATTAAATTACTTCAGTGAATATTTTATACGATCTCAGATTTAACGTAAGTGCAAAAAATATAACATAAGAGTATCATGAAAATATAACAAAAATCAAACATAAAATTATAGCATAAAAGTATAGCATAAAAATAAAGCATGAAAATATAACATAAAAATATAGCATAAAATATAGCATAAAAATAAAACATAACAGTGTCATGAAAATATAACAAAAATAAAACATAAAAATATAGCATAAAAATATAGCATAAAAATATAGCATGAAAATATAACATAAAAATATAGCATAAAAATATAGCATAAGTTTCAAAAGCTTTCATAATTCATGATCATAATCAACAAACAACAGATATTATAGAGTGATTTCCGCTAAAAACAAAAGGATTTCCAGGAATTTTCAGGAAGGTGTAGGAGATTTTCTTGGAATGATTTGCTCCTCGGAGAATCTTTCATATTTTAAATGATTCACTCACCGCCCCAAATCAATAAATACAAAAATGACCATCTTTAGGAAACAATTAAAAATAAAGAGGAAAAATTGTGTTGAAATTTCATCGAAAAAAACTTCGCACAGGAAAACAATACGACCCAGAATTAGGACCTTACCTATAAATTTTTGATACTTACCAGACGATTATAGTGGCTGGTATCTCAACAAATAAATTAGGCAGGTCGCTGGTATAACAATAATAATCGTTTTTTGAGTAGACTGGTAGACTAAATTTGTATTGTAAAACAATTGGTCTTGTAGCAACAAATACTGACATAAAATATCATTAGACGATGATTATTACTGGTTGCCTTATACTTAAATCTCTATGCCTAAATTTTGATGATTCTAATTATCAAAAATTTTTGTTTTTGTGAGCATAAGGAATCTGTCGGAAGCCACATATTCAGGGGCGTCGCGACCAGGAGGTGTGTTTGGGAAGGGGGGAGGTATCATACTCCCAGTAGTATCTCCATAAGAAATTTAAGGTAAAATCCGCTCAGTGGAAGAAACGCTTTAGGTAGTTCAGAGACCTTCATGTCTTAAAATCAATAAAAGATCAAGCATTGGTAGTTGTTCCGTTGGTTGAATATGATATTTCTTGATATGAATGAAGGTAAACAAACTAGTGATTTGAATATTTGAAGATTTCTTGTTGGCACTAAATCTAAAAATCCAGGCCCTCTTTTGGTAAAGTTGTGTCTTGTGTCCATTTCCCCCTAAAGTTTCTCGGTAGAAGCGTCAACTGCAATTCACTATGACCTGCAGATTTTTCTAACATTCAAAAGGAATGCTAAGATCTAAATTGGGGATCTAAATTGACAACCAGTGCTGCTTGTTACCTAGCTTTAGAAGTAACTGACAAAATTGTATTTTTCAAGACCACTGCGAAATTGTACCAGTCGTTTTATCTTTAATTTGTTTGCAAAAGTAAAATAATTTTCAAAAGGATTAAGAGGATTACTTTAGTGAAATGTGCTTAAAGAAATGCATTTTCCAGGGAACTAGAAGCATCAAAATTCGAAAATTCTCTGCTCCATCGGCGGCAGCCGCTTTGGGTAGTAAATATATCCTTTGTCCATCCCGATATACAGATTTGACAAAACTTTAAGAAAAAGTCCGTTATTATAGTATAAAAATGGAAGTTAGATTGACAAGATATATTGCAGAGGTTTGTGTCAGCAACTAAAGAATTTTAGATAAATATTTTTTAATCAGGCAAATTGGTAATCCACAGCTTATAAGCAACCTAGCATCATTATATTCTAAAGTTTAACAACCCGCATATCATAGTGAATCAAAATCATTGCCTAGGCCATAACACGCATTTAAAACTGGAAATTTCCTTTGCAGCAAAAATTACTCGAGATTACTAAACTATATGAAAGCAAAAATACAAATCATCTTAATCATTTAACATTCAAATCTATCGTAGCAAATATTTTTCACCGAGCAATTTAGCCACCTAAAACAGAATTTCAGCTTTATTTATTTTGAACCAAAACTAGGAATTTGCACCCTTATATTTTGATTGAAAAGCTTGCTTAGAACGCGTACTCTTTCGTGAGGAATAGACTTGGAGGAAGGGGTAGTAATTTAGAAGAAATGAATCTTGTAAAAATTCCCCAATAGAAAGAAAATGAAAAAATAAGAGAAAACAAAAAGAGTTTTACTTTTATTGCAAGTTGCTTGTTGAGGACGCTTTTGGTACAGTATTTCACCTAAACATCAAATTTGAAAATAACCATTAACGGATCTGTCATAAGGTATTCAATGCCATATAGGCAGATCTGTACACGCTTTTGGTGTATAGCATGGCAACAGGGGCTAAAATCCCGAGGGAAGGGGTTGTGACATTCCCCCCCCTCCCCAATCTCAAAAATAGTCAATTTCGCAAGGCAATCGAAGATTTCACAGGGCGCCAAGAATAAATTTATTGTAGTGCATCAGCACTACCTCTCAAGTTCGTGAAAGGCAGTTTAGGAATTTTGAAATGGAAATATCATATTTGCGGCGCCACTTGGGTGGGGGGCTAGGTGCTGCAGGCTCCCACTTTGGTCAAGATAAGAATTTTTTTAGCCGTTTTTTCTATCAATTTTAAAACAGAGTATGAAATTAAATGAGAATAAACTGTTTAGATGCCGATTTTGTTTGATCTATTTACTAACTTATTGACGTATATTTCTATTATTGTTCATTTATTTGCATTAATTCAGTAAATCACTTTCTGTATCACTGTAATGTCTTCATTTTTGATGTGAAAACACGACCTTCTCGAGACATGAAAGTGCACATTTCTGTTCAGGAAATAAAATTTTCCCAATCAATACAACATCTTCCCCTGTCATGTGCAATCTGAAACGAAAGGTTACCTTATGTTTCTTTCCCAAACATCTGTCACTATAGTTTTAGCATGACACCTCCACTCCCCGATTTTTCCCAATAAACAATAATCAGATTTTTTTCGAGAACCGTCGAAATGTCTTTCCTAAGCAGTTTATCATTTTGCTAAATATTAGACTGGGATTTGCTTTTGTAAGCCCTTTTACAAGGTATTATTTCAAAAGTTTTCTTTCCCGTCGGACCCAAACATGGTGGGTCCTACCTCACGTGAGTGAGCTCACTAAACTTCAATTTTAGCCCCCTGGTTTCAATTTCATGGCGCTGTCTCTAACATATAGCCCCCCTCCCCCATCATATGCCATGATATGCAAGCTTCATTACAAAATCAAATTGACATTTAATTTACGCTCACATAGGAAAATAGATATTTCATGGCAATTAAGTTTCAAATTTGTTTTTCTTGCTTAGAAATTTATCCTTGGCAAATTTACATTACTAAAGCTTTCACTTGTAACCTACAGACCAACTTTTGCTTCGAAATCTGCAGGGGAGAAACCCTTTTCAACCCCCCCCTCAAATCTATTGGCCAATTTACGCCCCTGCACGGCAACAGGACGGTCTAGAAAAATACAGTTCCCTTCCCTGATGATCGTACTAAGCATGAACCTTGGAGTAGCAGCTTAGAACCGTCCTCTTCAATACACTTACAGCTTAGACTTTAAACTTGATAATCTCGCTAACCGCATCTTAGTCGTTTATTAGACATCTAAGAGGATCTGTTCCTTGCGGATATTGAATCTGATCCACAGCTAAACAAACGTAAGATTCAACAAAAATCTTTTGAAAAAATCAGAATTTCTCTTTTCGTCGTAGAGCTGCTAGTTTTTTTAAAGTTTTCGCAACTGCAAGCACAAGACATTGTCAAGGCTTTTAGTAATATAGTCACAAAATAAAAAAAGACATCAAGTTTGCAACTATGTACAAGAACCTAAACTATTCAGCGAATTTTTCGTCCTAATTCAATCAGCTAGCGACTGATTTAACTATTTTTGCTCATTTTGAAGTGCTGTCTGGTGTTCTTTTAGAGACGCTACTCCTACAAATTCTCCCATATACCATATATCTATTTACACTAATAAATTTTCAAATACTTATTGGAAAATACCAATTGCTTTAATAAAGAAAAGTGCCTTGAAATCTGTCTGAAAATTTTGCAAAAAGAATTACGAGCTTGAGGGAACAAAGCTTGTTCTGGTAATAAAAGATTTCTGGTTTTGAACAAAATCGCTTAGGAAAAGAGAAAATTTGAAGATGTATGAAAAGAAAAAAAAACAGTTTTGAAATATACCTTGAAATATATAGTCAATTGCATTGAAACAATTTGTTATACTTAATTATATTCAACACATAAGACTAGCAACTACAAAACTCGCTAATTAACACATAACGTAGTTTTACAAAATTTTCTAATTACCATGTAGAGTAAGGAAAAAAATTACGCAAGGCAACTTCTCACCAGAAGAGAACTTTCTTCTGTTGGTACGTCAAAGGTTATTAATTATCTTTTTTATACTAGTAAGCAAACTTTATCTTGTAAATAAACACCTCAGTTTTCCCTAAATGTAAACATATATTCACACCGCTCGTTCATAATTATTCACACCTATTCCATTATTTTTTATTGTATTTGTCAGCAAGGATGAGCTATAAAGTTTACTTTTTTACTGGAAACAACTTGAAAACAGAGTTTGTCTGAATTAACAGTTGCCTAGCTGGAAACGAGTGCAAACTTCTAGTCTACTTCACAAAATCACAAGCCAAGTTGAATGTTGTATTTTTTAGTCAAGCTCTTATTCTTTTGCGAACATATAAATATTTACTGTTGCTTTTTTTGAAAAAGAAAGAAAGCTTTGGCTGGCAACTTTAATTTTCAAACGGAATGAAAAATCTTAACATCACGTTCCTGTTGCTCACTGAATGGCTTGAAAACAAATTTTGTTTATAAAATTCTATGGCCAAAAACTTGTGCACTTTTTAGACCATTGTTTCTGCATCTTGCAAACAAATGTTTTAAGGCTCTTGCGCGACCAGCATGCTTAGCGGTAGCTGTCTTGAGAAATTGACTATGTTTTGTATTTTCATGCAGTATGATATTAGGCCGGTTTTGAAAATGTTGATGGATAGTTTTCTATACAAATCACTATTTGAATAGAAAAATGTGCCAATCTTTTCACATAGGTTTCTATACTTGAATTCTAGCAAATAATGAACACAAAAACTTTTAAAGAAAAACTACATACTCTTTATATACTATTTCATGCAATTAATGATGAAAATTCGAAAATTATGTTAAATGAAAGCAAACTAGTCACTAATTTCACTTTATATAGAATATAGCGACAAGTAGTAATTGATTAAGAAAAGTAATTTAGCAAAAGCAGAACAAAAGTTTCAAAACCTACCTTAAAACTGTTACACAGTTGAATCAATGATGATCTATTTACATGATGATTTACTCGGATATGCCTTTGATTTAAAGTTATTTTGTTTCATAGTGTCATAAAAACATTGGTGGCAAAAGTGTTTTGCAGCCTGTTCCTGTTGCGATGTATGTGGAAGGGACTCGTGTACGGTTATGTTGAAGAAAAACAATTTAGTAGGAGAAGGCTGGTTACTTTGATAAACAAAAGATGGTAATCAGACACTATTTCAGAATTGCCCTAAGGTACGTAAAACTGATGTTTTACCAGATGCTTTGATGAGCTGTTAATTGAAATTAGATAAATGCTGTATAAAGCAATTTGGTTTTCAGTAGCTGCAAAACATTGAATGGTAAAAACAAACGTGTATGATGTAATGATGACTGGATGCTTTCAGGTTTAGCAAAAAGCAACTGGCTTATTAAAAAAAGGTAACAATTATATTTTTGAAGCAATTACTCATTGATTCAAGGGATTTGCACTCACTGTTTATGACAGGGTGCTAGGGATACAACTCTAAAGGATAATTACCTATTGAAACTTATACTAAACAACCCTATACATTAGATTAAGATGCGGAATTATATAACATATTGATAATTTCCACAACACAGAACTAAACCTATAATAAAGGCACTTGCATATAATTTTAACTTGCCTTAACATAAAACTGTCCATGTTGGTATTGCGAATCCGAGACGTATGTAGGTAAGGAGTAATTCTGAGAAAAATGGCTCGGTGAGTGATGATTGGATGACCAAAGTCCGTAAGATGGCTGCATCAATGGCGGACGGGATTCCATGCAGCTTGGTAAGGGTGGCGACTGTGCCGTGGTGTTTGTTGTTTGAGAATTAGCCAGAAATTGACACGGGGCATATGACTGCGGCATATAAGGAGCAGGTGGAGCAGGGGTATCTGGGTAATACCCGGAATGGACTGACGGGAAATGATAATCAGAATGATAGCTTCCGTGCTGGTAATGGGATGGAATTGGCGTGAAATGCGGATCACGATGAAGCATGTCAGGGCTAGAACTCCTCCGTTTCCGTGACTTGAAGATAGTAACAACTGGAGATTTTCCCGCGCGGCTTGATGCGTCAATCATCGGCTGGACAATGCGGCGGCGTGCATTGATAAACCTGATGGAATGAAAGCAAAGGATCTGAAATAACCTTAGAGACAGCGCCACTTTTCGCATACTTTTCAAATGAGATGCTGTCGAGAGAGTTGAAAAGCAAGATGGAGAGAAAAAATGAATGCTTGTAAATATGCCCAGTTCAGTTCTAGGGTTTATAGTTTTTTAGTCTATTGTAGAAATATTTAATTAATCTTGAACTATTTTTCGACGCAAATAATTCTATGTGTTCCCTCCTACTTGAAAAAAAATTGAAAAACAAGAATTTATGTTTAACGTAATATCTATTAGAATGTCTGACTCGTTTCCTCGTTTCTTTTTAAGCATCCTTTCTCTTATAAACGTCGATGGAACTCACTAACTAAGTGAACTGAGAACATCCAAAAAGAAGTGAGGATAATTGTTTTTAACTTTTAGATCTTGAAAGATTGTCTATTTTCTTTGTAAGCTAATGATATGCAAAAGCTCTTACCAGTTATTGACCTGTAGGATTGTCAATCCAGTTTCATTTGCCAAAATCCGCTTCTGCTCTTCCGATGGGTATGGATGCTGAAAGGCGGCAGGCAGTTTGAATAATAGGCCTCGTGATACGGTTAAAAATACTTGAATTAGCAGTTATATGATTGTTTTTTTATATGAATATATTAATCAAAGAATTTTCTGAGCTTCTTTGATTGTGTTTCAGACCTAAATCACAACAAGCATTGCCTCAGGCATTCTTTTTTTTCTTCCTTTATTTAAAGTTGGTATAATTTCTAGGTATGCATACTCAAGCTTATTGAAACCAACTCATTTAAATTACCAACGCTAAAAATAATGTAAATCAAATGTAACCGATGTTGCTAACGTATTCCTTGCAAAGATTACAAGTAAAATTAAACGATGTAAGTTCTGAGATTTTTTTCTTGAATGTTTGTAAAGTAGGGGAGTACTTTATCTCGTTTGGAACTGAGTTCCATATTTGGCTACATCTGTATGCAACGGTATTAAATCCATATATTTTGTAATGTGGCTCCGCTGTTCTGAACTGGGAGTTTCTTATGTAATATGGGCATTCATTTATGGAAAATATTTCATCCATAAAAGGTGGTTTTGTAAATTTCTATCGCAAGATATTGTAAATTTTTCTTATGAGAAGTTATTGTTTTATTCTTTAGTAAAAGTTGTTCAAAAGTTGATTCATAATCATCATGAGCTATTCTCATTGCTCTATCATGAATTCGGTTTATCCTGCTATTACTTTTCCTACTGCAAAACATCCAAATAAGAGGACAATAATTATAATATGATAATATGAACGTTTTCATTAAAAAAATTCGCTTAGATTTGTCCATATACAAAGCAATTCTTGCTAGAGCGTTTACCTTTTCTCCAGCTTCTTTACAAAAAACTTTAATATGTTCTTCTAATCTAAGTTGATGGTCTACTGTTACTCCCAAAAGTTTAACATTCTTACTTTCTATTATAGTAGAACCATTTATTTGAATTTTAGATTCCTCTAAATTGGATCGATTGGCTTAGTGGATTATAGATTATTTGAAAAAATGGAGAAATAATAGCAGGATGCTGTGATCTTGGGATTTCTAGCAGGTAATAACGATTCTTGCTTCCATTATACGCTTTTAATTTTTTTTGCAATGTGTAAGACAGAATTTTGCAAATTGAAATTTGTTTGCTATCAAGCTTTAAGCTATGGAAGTAATTTTACCATTTGCATTAAAACTTTGCAAACGACCTTCTGCATTGAGTTTTAACCACACCCTTTCCTAAAAGGTTTATAAATTAATTTCAAGCATTCTGATATGAATAATCTTATGCCATCCAACAGGAGGCACAAGAGAGTACAAGATTATGTGGAACTTATTCTATGGACCCATTGACAGTTTCTGCCTTGTTCTATAAACTTAAGTTTGCACTATTTCCTTCCTGTTAATTTAGTTAATCATTAAAGGAAAACGCCATAAAACAATTGATTGCACAGAAGCAAACAGGAAACAACAAGCAATTTCAAGAGGAAATAAATTAGGAAAGTTTCTATGGAAAAACCACCTTTTAAAAACTCATGATGATTGAGCTAAAACTGTCAAAACTGGTTGGCTTCTGGTGCGTCAACAAATTTTACGCCATGTTTTGTTCCCGAAAGAAAGGCGACCAAAATTAAATAATGCTCTCATTTTCAAAAAGAATTGTAACTAAAAGGATTCGATGAGTTCGAACTTTTCGACTGTTATATTGACAGCCTCTTTTGAATGTGGTTGCCAGGTGGTTGTTGCCATAACTTAAACTGATTAGAAGCCGCTTAATTTTGCGTAAAACGAGGCCACATGGGCGGGACTAACGTATGCCCATTCAAACTTCAACAAAAGTAGGCAAGCTGCTATCCTTTAAAGTTAAAGACCCGAAATATCTCGGTTGAATATTTGATACTTAATCCAGCTAAGAGGAGAGTGATTTAAGCATAAGCTAGGAACAACAATGCGATTATGATTAAGGCGGACAAAATAGCGGGTTTTAATTCAATAAGAGAACCGTGATTCTGTCTCTTTAGTAAATAGCATCCCTACGCCTTAGTCTTTTTCTTTCGACTAACCATCATATATTGTATTTCCAGATAGACCAATCAAATTCAAGGAAAGTTGATTAATTTTTGTGAGAATAAATTATTTGCTAAGCAGTTCATATTCAAGACTTTATCTCCAGATCGTAGAAAATTAAATTGCAACAATATGTCTGGCGACAAGGTTGCCATAATATTTGTAGATATTTGTCTGATCGAAATTGGTTTTACACAGGAAAGTTTATTAATTGTTATAATTACAATCTTTCGATACCATGAACGAACAAATTTGAGATTTGAAACTTCTCTATGAAACATTATACATTATATCTGACGTAGTCAGAACTTTAAAAAATGGACTCAGCTTTAAAAAAGATTTTCAAACCAACAAAGTATAGTTGCAGCAATAAAGGTGTCTGTTTAGTTTCACATTTTCTACATCGAATGAATAATAAAGACATTGATATACTTAAATTGCGACATATATTACATGGAAATGATGAATATTATAACGACATTTTGATCATAACTCTATATCAGTTAAAGAGAAAAAGGCAAGCGACGGTTAAAAGAAAGAAGAAGAATAAGATTGAAATATCAGTTATATAAATAATTAAGGCCATGGAAGAACGAGCTGGAAGAGATTCTCAATGATTTATTTATCTCCGTCCTATACATCTACAATCCTGGGAAAAAGGTTATGAAACAATTCTTTTATAAGTGATTTTCTGCGTAATTGCCCTTAAAATCAGTTGTATGCCCCTCCCCCCAATGTCAATGTTGATGGTGGGTAATGGCAGTTGATTGTGGAAGCCAGAAACCTAAAAGATCAGCATCAACATTGATATTGGGGGGGAGGCGGGAGGGTGTTTTCCCAAGTGGTATGCCCCTCCCCCCAATGTCAATGTTGATGGTGGGTAATGGCAGTTGATTGTGGAAGCCAGAAACCTAAAAGATCAGCATCAACATTGATATTGGGGGGGAGGCGGGAGGGTGTTTTCCCAAGTGGTATGCCCCTCCCCCCAATGTCAATGTTGATGGTGGGTAATGGCAGTTGATTGTGGAAGCCAGAAACCTAAAAGATCAGCATCAACATTGATATTGGGGGGGAGGCGGGAGGGTGTTTTCCCAAGTGGTATGCCCCTCCCCCCAATGTCAATGTTGATGGTGGGTAATGGCAGTTGATTGTGGAAGCCAGAAACCTAAAAGATCAGCATCAACATTGATATTGGGGGGGAGGCGGGAGGGTGTTTTCCCAAGTGGTATGCCCCTCCCCCCAATGTCAATGTTGATGGTGGGTGGCAGTTGATTGTGGAAGCCAGTTGTTGTGGAAGCCAAAAAACCTAAAAGATCAACATCAACATTTATATTGGGGGCAAGGGGTAGGGTGTTTTTCCAAGTACATGATAATAACATCGAGTGTTTCCTAACTTCTGTCCAGGATTGTAGTTTTTCATCTCTACTTTCCTAATCTCTTTTTAACCGTTGTTTTTTCTATTCTCTTTATGAAGAGTTAGGCCTATGCTCGAAATGTCCATTGAACATTTAGCTTGTCTTTTTACAAAGTCGCATTCTAGATATATCAATTTGTGCTGTAATATTTATTAGTTCGTAAAGCCCTGATATATGTCATATGAGCTCAGGAGAATAATACCGCAAGAAGTAGAGTAAAGGAGAGGTTCTCCAAAGGTAATAACTACATTGCAACATTTGCCTTAGGCGCTTACTAAATTTTTTACACATGTAGTGCGTACTGTCAGAAACAACTTCTACGCTGCTGATGTTAATTCGAGCAAAGCTGTTGTGTTTGATGCAAAGAAAAAATCTTTTGGCAATTGTGTTATAGCAAGTCTGGCGATATAACTCACTACATTCAGAATCCTATCACGTGCACTTTAGTCATTTGAAAGAATAACAGACAAAATATTGATTAATTAGAAAAATTACTGTATTATGCAACACGCTTTCCAGATCTTTTGAATTTTCATTAGAGCTTCTTATACGATAAGCTGAAAACATTCTTTCGCAATAGTAGGCCAACAGCGAAGAAACATTGCTTTTTTCTCTGTTTATTTGAACTATAAACAATTTGCTAAACCACTCATTACTTGTCGACATTTAGAGTGAGAGAGCTAAGACGATAGTTTAATTTCCGTAAACTTTCCAAACATTTTATAAAAAACAGTCTTATCAACAGATTTCGCTTACTAATCTGATTTGATTACGATCCGTTATCAATGCGTAACTAACCTTTTAATTTGTTTTTGTACTGTGTCTGATTATTATCCGTTTTTGATTAAAAAAGATTCCTTTTTTTGTTCACCGCATTGTCAGGCCATTGATACTGTATAATTGTTTTGATTTGTTATGTTTGAACAAATGTTTTTGACGGAGGTGAGTAATGAGTTACAACGCTGCAATAGGAAACTTGAATATGTAATAAAACAATTAAACTTCGCAAATCTTCTCCGGATTATCATATCTAGAACCTATCTTCAAGATGCGATAGATTTAAGTAAAGTTGTCTTCAACTTCTTTGTTCTTGTCTAAAAGGTCTGTTTATCTTTCAGCTAACGTAAGCGATAATCTCATACTGGAGATATGGGTAATACCAGCTCTCACAGCACCTGTATTTATTAATTTCATTTTTTACCAACAAAATCTACCCACAAGGTTTAAGTGAGCACAGAATCTATAAAAAAATGGCTGCATTGAGTTTTAATTTCGTAACATCAACTATGCAATCTTCGATCATTCTAGATTATGTCTTAATCTTGAACCATAGACTTGTATCTTATGGATTTCAGAGCTATTCTATCAATATTTTACTACTTTAGAAATTAAGAGTACCCTAGTAGATTACAACTTTAATAAGCATAGTACAAGCCCATTATAATCGGGTAGTATTAGTAGATGGCATATCGCTAGGTCTAAATTGTTTATTGTTTACAAATCGATATACAAGGAAAATATCAATGTACGAAGTTCTCGA